ATTTTTAAAATAATTCACCTTGACTATCACTCGAGTAAGAATTTCAAAAGTCTAACTTAGTATATTCCACCCGCATGTCATTTTTAGTTATCGGTCGAGTGGTTCGTCCGCTAGTGTATCACGGACAGACAGACAGAAGGACATGGCAATCTCATAAGCCTTGGCTCGGGCTAAAACGGGCAAAAAGGGGAAATTTTAATCCACCAGACGTTTAACTGAAATCACATAACTAAATAAATTGAAATTCCATAACCTGAATTCTCAGTGCTTTAATTAAATTAAAAAACTGTAAAACTGAAATCTGCCAGACTTTACATAATTATACATTTTATTCAGTTTAAAAAATAATGGTTAGAAAATTTAGGAAACAATGAAAATTTTGGTGAAATTCATAAACAATTAATCTTAGTCAACAGGTAGTGCCTTTTAGCCTTCGCAGGGCGACCCTTAGGGCGCCATGTACCGACAGGCACGGTCACAACTTCATCTCTGACGGTGAAATCTTTACGAATTATTGCAATTCCCATTACATGCTTGCAAATGTACTTCTTCTTGGGACAGTTGCATTGTGAGCTACCCCATTCCGCCTCATTGTAATCGACAATCCACACCCGTTCTTTACATTTCTTGTAAGTGTCATTCCATCTTTTTTTAAAGAATCTATTATTTTTTCACTTCACAAGGGATGCCATGCTTGCTTTCCTCTCTATGGTCATGCGGTTTTGCATTGGTTAGCAAATTTGTGATTTGAGAGTTATCTGGGGATGTACATAATACATACCAGAATTTAATATAATATGTAACAATGTATGTAATATGCATAATATGAAAAGTTTGAATGAGTTTACCTGGCAAGTATAGGTGAATTTTTGCTGGACACTCCTTAATTTTGCAATTATAGTAAATTGTTTTCCCATCCTGCAATTCCTTGGCTGTGTGGCGAACAAATATTCCCTCAAGTATTATATGGGCTTTGGCTGCGTCAAAATTTTCGAATGTTTCAAGTTTTTCCCAATTGTTCTTAGCTTGTCGTCGGTTTTGGTGGGTGGTGGCATCGCCTCATCTTCAAAATCACTAGATTCGCCTTCGTAATAACTCAAAATATTTAAATCCATGTCCATTTCAGTTAAAAATCAGTTTTACTGAGCGAAGTGTGAGAGATTTATCCTGCCAGTAAGTAATCACAATATCTCAATGTCTAATCATAATATCTGCATATAAGTAATAACAGAAGTTATGAAAATACTGGTTGGTCGGATTCAGTTACGCGGAAGCTTTAATGGTATTAAAAGTACTGGAAATTCAGGTTATGGAATTTCAATTTATTTAGTTATGTGATTTCAGTTAAAAGTCTGACCCATTAAATGAGACCCCGGGCAAAAATACCAACCACATGACTCGCTCCAATCAGCACAATCCCCAAATACATACGGAAATAGAAAACCCTAAAAATCTGACTTTGAGCAAAACCAAGTACAACAATCCCACCGAATTTGGTCAATGTGATCCCACTTGATTTATTATTGTATCGTTGCTTCCAATTCGACCACCCACACGGTTCTAGGTAGACCCCACCGCAGGCATTCCTTTCCTTGAGTTTGACTATTTTAGTTTGGTGAAAAATATTTCACTCGAATATTCTGCACCAAAATTGGTGCATTTTGTTCGTCCCACGTCGATGAGATTCATGAACATATTTGTAACAATTATCGCGTAAACATTTCCAGTGGGGAAGACACGTTTGGTATCTTTTCTCCATTCAGTTTCTATTTTGTCGAATTTATACGCAAAAAGGTATCCAATCGGACAGCTGCGTTCTGTATTTTTTATCTGTCGACATCTATGGTCGAGAAAAGATTAATACAGCCCTGGATATCTGAAAGGCGGAGTGGCGGACCTTGCCATAACTATTAACCCATAAAAGTTTAAAAAAATTTCTATTATCAATTCTTGATAAAATTTCTGTTTTGGAGTAGGTACCCAGGTCCCTGCTGTACCCCCACATCAAAATATTAGGCGTTTGACCTTGCTGTCGCCACTCAAGGAGGCAACAAGGTCAAATAACTTGAAATATAATTTTACATAAAAAAGTGAAATATTATTATTATCGAAACTTTTGTGTACCTCGTGTTTGAACTACTTCGACACTTTGCAGGTCACTGTTGCTTTAAAACGTAACCACGCCCCCTTAGGGTGTGCCCACGGTTGCCAACGTTGACCGTGGGCAACCGTACCGTCACCAAATGACAATCGTGAACAGGATGATGATGACGACAACGATGAAACTCTCACGCAAGTTGATGAGGAGGACCAGGGAGTAGGGTTGGTGAAATGTCATGCCCTGCGAATAAATGCCCGGCATTTAGGCCATATGCCCAGGGCATTTATGTCTTTTACATAAATCTTTAGAATTGAGCTTATATGGGCATGAAAATAAATGCCAGGCAAATAGGGAAAATAAAGCATGTCAAAAATGCCTAAATGCCCAAGGCACAAGGCATGAGCCAACTCTACCAGGGAGACGAAGAGGAGGAGGAAGATCAAGAACAACAAGGCAGGGGTCATAAGATAAAAAAAGGATCCAAAATTCTTTAATGCGGACTTTGTGTAAGGGGCGTAAACATCCGTAATGTTTTCTTGCCAAAAAATGAACAATTAAAAATATATATAAAAAAATTACGTTTTATTTATGCACATCCACTCAATCATGCGTCATCATAACCCCAACTCCTTGTCCTCCCAATCTACTACCCTACGCTCCAATCAACAGCTACCCATTCGATAACCAATATCCACACCCCTTTTTTACAAATCCCGGTTCGTCCCTGTACGTGATATGGCATTGGTCATTGTTAATTTTCAGTTCCATTGTATTCTTGACGTCAGCAAGGCCGCTTAAGAGTTTTGCATATTTCTTACGTACACTGCCACAAAAAAATTGTGCAACAATACGCATTGTTTTACAACAAAAGAAAATGTCCTCGACTATATAATCAATGAACTGGTCTTCCTTATCGCAGAATTTACTCATTCTTCATCCCGCACTCGTCTCAAAATGAAGGTACCATTCGCCTTTGCTCTCGTTCTTGGGGTGATACTTAATTTTGTCCGCGTCGAAGGTTTCGAATTTGATGACTTTGGATGTAAGATACATTACTTGTACAATTGGTTGGGTGTAACCTTCATGATTGACTTTTGTACGTTACAGCACTGATCCACGATGAAGGAGCCGCACAGGGTCACAGGGTCAAGCGAGCACCGTCACCACTGCACTGGCAATTTTGGGGCCGTGATAATGGTGAATATATGAGAGGACGCTGGAGAGGCTAGACACCACCCCCCCCCCCAATTGGTTCAAAAAGATTACAATTCCATTTGCAGAGATTACGGATATTCCTAATTTAATAAAATATACGTTTGACTGTAACACCCTCATACATGGTGAATTTTTGTACACCTGCATAACATATTGGCATCACAACGTTCATTAACACTCGGATAGGCTGAGATAAGCTCGTCCCTTTTACAATTTACTGGGCTCGTTCCCGATGACTGTCACTACGACGATTTTGTAAAATTTCTTGTGCAAATAATGGCGAAAGTATTTCACTTCTAGTTTATTAGATACAATTAATTTCTGTTAATTTTACAACGAATATTATTTAGGAACTCATTATTACCAACACTTTTTTAATTCAAACTAATAACTGTACCTTCATGTGCCCGAAGCGGCCTCTATAAGGATTGAATAAATCTTATCTTATCTTATCTTATCTTATTAGATACAATTAATAAGTCCAATTTATTAACAACAAATTGTTTCGAATATCAAGCAAGTAGTTCAAACATGAATACTTTAACTTAAAGTCAAGAAAGTCGCATGATTACCGATTGTAGGTAATTAATTAATTTCAAGGTCCGAAAGGGAGGCGAAGGCCGAAACCTTGATAAGTTGTTGTTGGAATACCTGCGAAATACCTGAAGGTGAAAGTTTTGCACCTTTGAGGGGGTGTGGCGGGCGCAAATGGGGCCATGGAGTAAAACCGTTCTACAGTTTTGCTACACTCATAGGGTACTACAACATATCGTCGCACTAATTCTAAAAAGACGTACAGTGAGCCAAATGGGTGAAGGCACCTTTGCATATTTTTTATCTCGATATGATGTCGTGAACTTAGAACTTTGAAACTTGGCCCACATGTGCAACAACTAAACGCCGACTAATGCCGCGTCGTAGATTTTTCAGGTCACCGACAGGTCAAAGGTCAGAATTTTTTTGAAAAAAAATTTGAGAGGCAAAAATAAAAACTTTGTGGATAATTTTTTTTAACTTTTGCATAATTTTTATTCGATGCTAAAAGCGATTACAAGAAAAATGACGTACCACATGACCGTGGGCGATTTTTTTGACGCCTTCAGGAATTTTGTCGCCAAGGGGTGTTTGAGGGTCTATTTTCGCGACCGCGGCGAAATTAAAAAAACTGAAATATAGGAAAGTACATATATTGTGTTTGTATACTTTTCTATATTTCAGTTTTTTTAATTGATAATTTATAAATTGGTAATTTCTCAAAATTTAAATTCCCGCTGTGATCACAATATTTAATTTAATTTTTGAAGTGCTAGAATTTATGTACATTTGTAAATAGAATTCTTTAAAATTTGATCCTGTTTTTATGCGCAGAACATAAATACTTGAAAATTTACCGTCAAACTCGCAGATTAGTACGTTCATGTTGTGCACGTTCTTCTTATGGAGGTACAAATTTGTAGCGTGGAGGAACGTTCTGGGACAGTCTGGACAGTGGTATGGTCGATCTGGTAAAAATAGGCGGTCATAAAAAATTAAATAACTAAATTGATATGCAAGATTTGAAATCGGTTACTTTTGTCGGTATTGTGACCCTTTCGAGTGGTTGGAGGATTCATGTTAGCCGAAGTGGTGGCCCTTTTCGTCTCAGTAAAAGTTTTCCGAGCGACGAAAATCTCACTGAGGTGTCGTGGATTTTCCTTCCTGATTGATTACCGTCAAAGTCTGGGTTATCGGTGGTCGTGGTTTCGTAGAATGGTTCAATGTCGCACTCCACGTTGAAAACAGCAACACCTTGCTCCTCGAACAAGTCGTCGTCCTCGCCACCAAGCTCTTGATAAAAGTCGTCATCAGGGTTGGCATTGTTTATTGTTTATTTGTGTTTTGTTTTGTTTTGTTTTGTTCACGGTTGTTTCCACATTTTAAACAAAACAAAAACAAAACATTAATATTAAAACAAAATTAAACAAAACAAATCTAACTAAAACAAAACAAAACAAACCGAAAGTTAAAAAACAAAACATTGTTTAATTGTTTAATTTGTATTCTGGCAAACTTTACTCGGGTCGCCCCAACACAGTAAACGCGGTTTTTACTCTTATTGTTCCGTTAATCAGGTGTCAGCTTGAAATCACTCATTCTCACAAATACTGCAACATAAATTATTTAGGTGAAAAAATTGTTATCAGCAGTCATACGTAAAAAATATCTGATTCCGAGTCACTTGTTCCCGACAACGACGATCAAACTGAGAATACACCCTGCAAAACCGAGACGTATAAGCCAACCAAGAAGAGGGCAAGAATATACAATTACTTTGACTGGAACGAAACTACTGAAAAATATCGTTGTAAACGATGCAAGTTAGTCTATCTAACTACTTACTAATTTTATTGTTATTTATGTAATAATTAATACTACAACACTTTCAGGAAGGATTATACTTCCCCAAAGGGTGGAGGAACTGGAGAATTCGAAGAAGACAAGGATGACGAAAATGACGAAGAAGAAGCCGACAGTGAAATCTCGGACGGTTCAAACTTTTTGGTGAAAATTCGAAAAGGTGTTGCTGCTATCCGGAAATCTCCACAAAGACGAGAAATTTTTGCCATGCATTGTACCTCGCATACGTTGAAACATAAAATGCTCATTTTGGATGTGAAAACGCGTTGGAATTCAACATATTGGATGTTGACTCGGTGCATTGAGTTTCGGAAGCCATTTCAAGCAACTTTACAATCCATTTCATCTCTTAAGAAGTTTATCCTTGATGAAATTGAGTGGAAAAAAGTAGAAGAAATTACAAAACTCCTGAATCTATTCCGCGAAGCCACCGAAATGCTGTCAACTCAAAGTTCTCCAACCTTATCCTCTACATCTTCAGTTTATAGTGTTTTATTTGACCATTTGGATAAATCTACAATGAAAACAAGACCCACTAAAACTTCCACCCACGAAGAGGACTGGTTTCAAAGAGCTGTGAAGGCTGGTAAAGACAAACTTCACAAATATTATCCAACAGCAGATGGACTTTCGTACATAGGTAGTACTGGTAAATAATTTCAGAAAATATAAAAATTTGCCCCGTTTCCGCTTGCGAGATATTTATTGGACTATTTTTTTTACTAGTGCTAGATCCTAGATACAAATTGGGGTGGTACAAAGGAGTTTGCTGGCAAAAAGAATGGATCGATTCTGCTCGTAAAAATGTGTCCAACTTATGGAAATCAAAGTATAAGTAACAGGGATCCGAACTTATTCTGCCGTCGGTGCCTGAATCATTGAGCAAATCACAGTCCACATTTCGTGATATATTCGAAAATCAAATGAAAACGATCATTAAAAATACAGAAGAAGATGAATTGAAACGATATCTCTCGGACGCCGTTGTGAATGCTGATATTCTTACGGTAAAGAAGTCTGGAATCAGCGGTGCTCTTGGGTGGTGGAAGGTTCTATACATTTATATTTTATTCAATTAGGTGAATATTTATATTTTGCAGAACCAAAATTGTCATAATTGTATTTGCAGATTTACGAGAGGGAGTACCCAAGTTTGGCTAAAATGGCAAGAGATTTTCTAGCAGTGTCAGGAACTGGAGTTCCAGTCGAACGACTCTTTTCTACCGGTCCGCAATTGATTTCACAATATCGACAGCGCTTGTCCCATGAAACTATCAGGAAATGCATTTGTTTAAAATATTGGATGATAAACCAACGAAATCGCACAGAATTTCAAAAACTGTGTCAAAATTCAATTCGCTACAAAATATTAGGAGATGGAGAGTTCGAAATTGAAGCTCTAGAAGAAATTGATGAGTAGATTATTGATTTTGATCGTTTGAAAATAAAAAAAAGTATTTACTCCTGTGTTATAGGTGAAACTTTTGTAATTATTTTGCAAAAAACAATTGTTTTTTTGTTTTGTTTTGTTTATAAACAAAAACAAAACAAAACGAACTATCTCAGATCAAAACAAAACAATGTCCTCAAAACAAACCAAAGAATTGTTTTGTTTCCGGTTTTTGGTATAAACAAAACAAAACAAAAATTTTGAAACAAAACAAAACAATGCCAACCCTGGTCGTCATTCTCCTCGTCGTAATCGCCACCTTCCCCCTCGTCACCACGCTCTAGTAATTTATAATTAGTCAAATTTAGAACTGAAGGTCAATCCCTCATTACTAAAGTTTCGCTCAAGAAGCAGGTAACTGATGGTGGTTAACTTTATTTTGGTCAACCTTACCTGATTTGTCGTCCTCATTATCGTATCGTTGCCTTTTTCTCTTCCGAGTGTATACCATCGACGTCGACAGGGACCGGACATTGGAGACGGAGATAGAGGAATTAATGTCGTCCTCGTCGTGGTCCTCCACGTCGCCGAAACGGGTCAAAGTACTGTTTGAGTTGGATGAGAAGGACTGCAAGGGAAGTTCGAGTGGATCGGCTGTACATAAGTGGTGGGTGGATTTTAAGTCAGGAATCTGATTAATTTGACAAGTTAATTATTTTTTTAATGAATTGTGAACCACGTACACAGGATCTGCTTGGCGAAAGTGCTGGGTGGAGTTTCGATAGGAACTTCGCCCTCGCGTTCAATGTCTGCAATTAATTAAAAAAATTATAGTAATTAACACCTCACTTTAATTATTTACGCTAAATAATAATGTTTTTTTATATCAATTTACAATCAAGCCTTCGAGCAGTTTCGAGGTCGTCAACATCCCGTCCAAATTCATCATTATTTTTGCCAAAAGCTGAAAAATTATTATCCTAAATTGGTTTTTTAGTTAATTAATTGAAATTTACACCACCGTTTTTACCTGACTCGCACCATTCTGCAAACTTGACCATCAAAGGCTTCATCTTGGTGGCGAACTTTTTCTCAAAATTGGCAAAACGCTCTTGACATCCCTTATCGTCAATTGTCTTCTGCTTCTCCATGTTGGCCATCCATTCCTCCATAGAGTCGAAAACTTTACTCATACTCTTGACCTGCTTATCCGCAAAGTCCTGACGTTCACCTAACTCCCCCATTCTTTTCTGGAGCTGCATTATCCTTGCGTCCAATTTGTCGCTCTGTTCCGTTATGAAGGTCTCGAGCCGTGTCATCTTGGCGTTGACCAACGTTTCCAACTGTTTCGCCAACTCGACCTCCAACAAGGCTGGCAACCGTTCCTCGAAAACTTTTACGACCGCGAGGTTCAGCCCGGTGACGAAGTGCTGCATCTCCATCTACAATAAAAATTTAATTAGATCAAATTATTTCCCGGAGGGGAGAAACTAATTAAATTAATTACCTTTAATTACAAGAGGTACAATCCGGGGAGAAAAAAATATTGTTTTTTCAGCTGACCTTCCCAAGTGAACCGTCCAAAGAACAAAGGATGCCGCGGCATGATTTTTTTCCATGGAATTGTAATATGCGACTTTTAGTTCATGAATCTTTTTATTGATAAATTCACAATAGAAAAACATATTTGAAAACATATGTGACTTTTAGTTTATTTTTTAGAGGCATATTGTGAATTTATTTGCGTGGTCGTGGCAGAAAAAGTAATTTGATCTAATCTTACAAGGGAAGGTCCCCGACTGCTTATCGTGTCCAGGGTACCCACTATGTTTTTTAGAATCTACTACGACCCTAGACGAAGGATCCATTCATATTTACGTGTTAATCGCATATTCGGCGCCATGGCGTGGCGCCAAATTCGCCAAATTTGCATGTTTTTATTTTTGAAACCGCCATAACTTTTGAATTCCTGGGCGGATTTTCAAAAAAAATTCCAAAAATCATTAAAAAGAGTTCAACTTTCGTATGCCATGAAATTTTTCAAAAAATTTATTGTTTGAATTTTTGTCAAAATTTTGGAATTTTCTTACGCTTGGGCATTCGCCGAAAAAATGTCAAAAAATAAAAATATTTCGTTTTTTATTAATTTCTTAAAATTTTGACCTTTGTGGTCATTTTAAGCAAAAAATTTTGAAAATCCCCCGGAAATTCAAAAAGTAATGGAGGTTTGAAATTGGTCGAAAACGCAGATTTTTAAGTTTGGCGCCACGCCATGGCGCCAAATGTGCGATTAACACGTAAATATGAATGGATCCTTCGTCTCGGGTCTTAGTAGATTCTAAAAAACATAGTGGGTACCCTGGACACGATAAGCAGTCGGGGACCTTCCCTTGTTAGTGTATAAACCAGGGGTTAGTTGATATTATCTTGGTTTAGAGCAAATGAATATTTTTCAATGAAGACTGTTCAGTAATGGTCTTACCGAACAGCGTCCATGATTTATTAAGGGTTCAGCTCTATTCAAGAATATACATGTAAAGAAGCATACATGATTTACTAAATCAGTATAAGTTTCCGGGTAGTAAATTACTACGAGGTTTGTAAACAGTAATTATTCGATGAAGATGTGTCTCAATATCTAATTGCTAATAAAGTGTTCCCAGTCAAGAATTAATAATTTGTTGACCCTCCATCCAGGTTTTTAAGAAATTGTCGTCTTCCACTTTCAAGTCATCGTTATTGTTATTTACAAAATCGCACAATCAGATTTCTTCAGTTGAGGAGGAGCAGTACGCCGAAGAGGCGCCGGTTGCTGACAATTTTGAATAGATGGCGTGTGCTCGTAAATTGGAGGAATGTAAGATTGAGTGGATCTTTGAGCGATTGGGTTCATCCTGAATGTTGGAAGATTTTGTGGAGTTGGCTTTGGTATCTTTTTGACTGTTGTAACATTGCCGAAAGACATGCTTGGACCAGGTGCCCTAGCTGGAGTTATTCTGGCAATAGTTGCGATATTTGAATATTGGTTTGGAAAACTTGTATTCAAACCTGCTCTCGTTGGCTTCCGTTTTCCTACAAAGTCCTTGGGAACTACCAAATCCAACTCTGTCCTCGGGTTGACCACAATATGGACCCGAACTTCGACCAGGAATCGTACAATAATCCTTTGGGGATCATACACAATGAATTCATTGTACAGTACGGCATGGGAATCGTACTTGGTGCAACGTGCCGTCCTCCCGAATGGGATATGACTTCCCATATAATTCCCATTATCCGTCCAATCCGGCACATAGGTCCCATTTCCCTTCGTACTCTCGAATCCACTGGGTGGAGCGGTGAGATGGTTGTGACTTTTCGCACATGAATAAATCCGGCCAAGTCCTACTTCGCAAAGTAGGAGGAAAGTTGCATCTTGATCTGAGTAATTAGAAGACTTTGTGATCCTATCAGCAAAATAGATTCCGGAACCGAACATTTGTCCGGCCGAGTTTGGGAGACGAAACCCATTTTGTAGAATGGCTGGAATGTTGGAACGTTTTGTTCCGTGCCAGAGTAGTTTTCGGTTGTTGTGGAGGAGACGTTGTGCATCGCCACGACGCCAGACGCGATGGATGTTGACGACGGTGAGTTTGACGTTGTTGTGGCATTGCGAGTTGTTGACGTACTTGACAACCTTGGCGTGATTTGGGCCATCTTCCCAAAGCTTGATTTTGGCCGAGGAGTCGAGTGAGAGGCGGTCAGTTTGCATGAGGGATGAAATTCGGTTCAAGTATTCTTCTTCTTTGGCACGTTCGCGACGACGGGCGAGATATTCTTGACGGTCTTCCAAGCTGACGAAGGAGCGGGTGGAATTTCTCGGGGTGAAATGTTTGTTAGGCAAGTTGACGACGGAGCGGGTGGAATTTCTCGGGTTAAAAGGATTGTTAGGACTAAAATTGCGGGAGCGGTTGTGGAATTCATTGTTGAAAGGGGTCGTCATGGTATATGTAAGTTAGGGATGGGTAGAATTGAGTCTAGTTTCCAGCAGATCGAGATCAAAACTGGAAATACAAATTTTGTTTTGTTGAATTTCCGTGTTATTAATGATATATTACATAATATAAAGCAATTTTGATTTCAAGTATTAAATAATCATAGTTAGCAAGGTAGTGATGAATCATGGATTTCGGACTATCAAAATTGAAATAATTTTCACAATTGATAAACAAAATGACGGGTGAAAAATTCTACAACAAATCCTAACGAATTTCCTACTGATATTCTTAGTTAAGTCAGTCATTAATTGTAAAGAATGAATTGATTTCGGAAGGTCATATAAATTACGCAGTGCACTTTGCAATTCACCTTCGCCAAAATTTCGATTACACAAAATTTTACGAACTAAGACATCCTTATTAAAGAATAAACTCTCCACATATTTCTTTAAAATTAATCTCAGTAATATGTGCACTGCAAAAAATCCTGTGTAGTCATATATCCAACCCCCGTGCTGTGTTAATTTGTCTCCGTATTGTGTTAATTTATCACAATGTGTTGTTAATTTGTCACCATGTGGTGTCAAAATATCCACCCCGCGCGGTATTCTTAAATTTTACTCCGTGTCGTGTAAAATATGACACCATTGGGGACACAATTTACACTATACGGCGACAAATGAACACCAAAATGAACACCAGCGGATTTGTTGCAGTGTAGGTTTTACAAATACCTTTGAAAAAACACGGCCTTTTTCTTCAGTCAATGTCTCAATGTTAAGGCAATTAGAAATTCCCCAAACTATATAAAAATCCAAGTTACATTTATTGGATAGGTTAGACGTAATAATTGTTACCACTTACCACCAGATGAGCCTTTATACTGCATAGAATTTACAGCTAGCAGCCAGTCCAATAGTGATGTCAGCCTCAAGAATTATTCGTGAAACGTTTTGCCTTTTATTTGTGGAACAATCGGATTATTTTACACCTTTATTGATATACCAGTACAATATATGCTTCACTATAAATGAAGCAGGATATAAATCTGTTCAACTTAACCACTTTACCAGACTATAATGTGTAATATACATACTGTAATACCGACTATACTGTAATAAGTGAATTCAGTTCAATCCAATTTAGTGTACAAACTGGGTATGTATTTGCAGCACAAACAAGTTAGTATTGACAGGATTATGTTCTCAGATTCATGTCCAGCCCAAAGTTAAACCATATGTAAGGGTTGTCCTCATCCTACTGTCCATCGCTACTTATATAATTACACTGGCGATCCTAAAAACAGAATGCTTTTTGTGCCAGGTAGTAGCTGTATTGAGTCGCCAAGCAGTGAGTGATATGGATTGAACCGATCTGTTCATTCAGTTTGTCCTGTGACGTGTTTTGTATCCACTTTATTTGACTATTTAATTAATTTAATTTAACTATTTAATTTATTTTATTTAATTTAATTAAAACAGGGCCCTGTTTTGAAATTAAATTCGTCTTATTTAATCTGCAAACAGAGTAATTTGATGATAAAGGGCAGCATTTTATTCCAAAGTGTGTTAATTAACCTCACTGCTACGAAATAAAATCACTTAAAAATCAGTTAGCGACCAATTTATTTTATAATTGCAAATCTCAAAATTGACAAAAAGTCCAAAAACTCGAAAATTCCACTTTTGTAAAGGGCGTTGATATAGAAAAATTTCAAAATTTTGATTAAAAAATTCCACTTTTTACCATGGACTTTTCCTCATTTGACAATGGAGTTGATCCAGTTTTTCAATTTTTGCCATCTATTTTGGTTGTCATGATAAATTTTGAATTGCACATAGAGTGTGTTTCAAAAGTTTCTCCTCCTTAAATCACCAAAATTTTCATTAGGTTACAGGAAAATTTAGGCTGAAATATTCGAACTATTTTATTTTTTTCAAAGTACTCTAATATGATGTGTGTCCACCGGCATTGTTCATCATTTCCTCGACCCTTGTCTTAAAACTTTGTGCCAGGTTTTGTAGAAGGGAAACTGGAAGCGAATTCCACTTTTCTTCGAAACGGGCTTGCAATTCTAGTCTTGTTTTTGGAAAAGGCTCCTGGTATGCTGACTCCTTTAGTATGGACCATAGGTTTTCGATTGGGTTCAAGTCCGATGAATTTCCGGGCCACACCCCCTTTCCCCACACTGTTCCAACTTTGTCTTCCAGCAGCTTCATTGTTGACTTTGCCGTGTGTGCTGGGGCTCCATCTTGTTGAAAAACAATATTCTTTCTGCTTGAAAATATAGTGCCCTCCATGGCCTCGAAGTATACGGGAAGAATTTTTTTGATAATAGGCAGCATTGACTTTTTCACCCTGTGCCACAAAATGAAGCTTTGAGACGCCGCCAGCACAAAATCCACCAGCGACCATGATTTGAAGGTCGTGTTTGGGCTTTAAAATGGGTGGGACGTCCTCTCTATTTTTGGTCCTGTATCTCAAATTTTGTGGATTGTATTGTCCATGCAGTTTAATCCAGCTCTCATCAGTGAAAAGGATGTTTGACCTCAGTTTCTCCCCCCGCGTCCCGGACGTTAAAAATCCACTTTTTTCGACAATCTCTCCGAATTTAAGCCGGTCTTCAATATTCTTTTTGCTTAAAAGTGTTTTCTTAGTACTCCGATATGCCTTCTGACCCCAACTTGTTGTTTTGAGGTACCTATGAACAGTTGTCGCGGAAATATGCTTCTTCTTCTTTTCGTACCGTTTTGTGAAGTTTAAGACTCTTGCGGTTTATCTGGTGGAACTACCAAGTTTACGGTACATTTTTTACTTTATTTGACGTTTTGTTGTAGGGGAGAGTACTGTCGGTCTTCCTGGCCTTTTCTTGTCCTTAAAATAATTTTTCTCTCTCCACAACCTCACCGTTTTTGGGGACACTTTCAGTTTTTCACAAATTTCTTTAACACCATATCCTTCACTTGATAGGGCTTGTATTCTAATTCTTTTTTCCTCACGAGCAGGATTGACATTTGGGCTCATTTTCCCAAAAAAATAAATTCGAAAAAATAACAGGTGAAAAAATTGTAGCCCAATTTATACCCAAAAATCGCGCGCGAGAGGCGGAGGGAGAAACTTTTGAAACACACCGTATGTGTGTAATTGGTACGCAAGAGGTTAACTGCGTAGCCAAGGCTTGGCAATGGCAATGCTAATTATAAACAGTCTGCGTGAATCATTGTCCCTTCCAGAACGGGACAAAATGATGAATAATATTTCTTGTAATTAAAAAAAATTGTAATTTGTAAAAATTTTGCAAGTTACTTAAAACTTGAAATATATTCGTTCATCAAAGTAAATTGAAACAACTCTTTGAAGCTTTGCACCCTCCGATATTTCCATATTGAATGACTCTCCTTCTTGTGTATTGTTTTTTTAAGCAGTAAATAATTTTAGGGACTTTAAACCCTTTATTTTCATTTCAAATTCATCAAATACAATTAATCAATTTTATAAATTTAAAAGGATTTTAAAACTGGTGGCACCATTTTCTTGACATACATTTGCAACAGTAAGACCTGTTTAATATATTATACGGGACAGAGCACGTAGACCAGTTCCGAATTAATTTAGGAACTAACAAAAGACGGATTTTAACCTGTCTTTTATGTTTTAGACTTACCTGGAATCGTAGCTTTTCCAAAATTTGCGAAGAATTTCATTGTCAAAATTGGAATGGATTCACACCAACTATGAACAGAGTCGCATATGATGACGATGACGGGTAACAAACTAATGTTTTATGTATTTAGTTTGTTGTAATATTTTATGTATGTATCTTTAAAAAAAGTTCATTTTAGCGCATGTTTTATACTCAAATTGTGTACTCTGCGAGTAAATATTTGCAATCGTTCTTTAATTGTCAAGCGTAAGTAATTCCTCTCTTAGAGCCTAATTAACATTAATACGAATATAATTATGAATTACGTGTTAACATAATTATTATCTTGTTTAATTGAATTCCTCCAAGCCGCTGTACACGACAAATTAAATATTATTAGTGATGAGAATTCTCATGAATTTTTTCATACATCTATATACAAACCCAGACCGAGCATATCCAAACAAAGGGAATGATGATGGACACCGGGAAGAGATCCGCTACTCCCAGTCAGTAGTGAAAGTAAATAATCAGATTGAATTCGAATAATTTCAAGTATAAATATTAAAACCTGCAATTTCGTGAACAATTAATTATGACACGAAGGAAGAGAAAATTAGTACTGAAAGCTGATGTGAAGGTGGAAGAAAATCCCCCTTCATCCTCTGAGGAAGAAGTAAGAATTTGGGCAAAATTTTAATTTAAGATTTATTTGCTTGTTTAGATATTTAATATTTATTATATTGTAGGTACCCCCACCTGGTTGGGATGATGGGTCATCGTCGTCACCTTTTTTACAGTCATCTGCACCTCAAGTTTCTCTGTCCTCTCCAAAATCCAAATCTAAAATACAACGAGGACGACGGCCTGCGAAAATAAAATTACATAAAACAGCACGGAACTTGACCTCTGGCTCCTCTTCCCATAAGAATGATTCAAATACATCACCCACTGGATCTGATTGCAGTAGTTCGTCTCCAAAGTGTATAATTTGTAAGATTGACATTTCTAAACTGAAGATGCATCGTGGGAGATTGTACCAGAAACAAGTTCAAGAGTGGAAACATATCATGATGACGAATGAAGGAGTATCGAGCATCGGCAGCACCAATATTAGTGAACCTTGTGAATCATGTTTCAAGGAATTTGTACTAGAATCCTGGAATATTTCGGAACAAATTAACAATTTGCAACTTATACTGAAAGAGCTAACTAAAAGAGTGGTAGATAATCAGAATAAATGTGTGTATTATATACTACTTAGCATTGTTTCTGAGACTAACTTTTTTCAATCCTATTTTTTACAGGGAGTCGAGAAAATCAAAACAATTCAAAGTTGGACAAACTTGAGGATGAGGAGTAAGGTTTATTGGTCGATTGGTTTATTAAGTATAATCTGTAATTTTTTACAACTGTGTTATTGGTTCTCGTTTTTCTAGTGAAGCTTTAGAGTCGTCATCCTCTGACACAGAGTACTTATCAGACTCGGAATATGATCCGTTGGAAGACTTGAAAGCAAGAAAGTCGAAAAATAGGAGGGTTAGGCAACCAAAAACGAAATTCAACAAAGCAGTTCCTGTTGGCAGAAGAGGAATCAAGAAGAATGAAAACCCATCAAATAATAATATTCTCAAGATGGAGTAAGTACTAGATTTATTTGAGCATGATCTTCATTCAGAGTTGGGTTTAATTTTAAATTTTGTCTTCTGGAGACCAGAGATGTCGGACTGGAAAGGACAGAATTCACCACCAGTTGAATTTGCAGAACCACTTAATCTTACTAAATTTCTGGAGGTCAAGTTGGAGGAAACCACAAATGTTGACGTAACTTTCAAGGTTGAAGAAATTTATGACTATGTGACCCTACAGTTTCGGAAAAATTAGAAGGATGCTTCCTTACTTGTAAAGTATCGTGTACATAATTTTCTTCTAATTTGTAGGTGCCACTAATAATACCTGGATACGAGGCAGTTTGCTCCCACTGCGGTACCATCAGCCGCAATCTTGAACATTGTGAATTTTGTCGAACTTTACTTTTGAAAACTGCCAAAATTCTTAAAGTTGGGACACGAATTTGTCATTTGAAATCTGACTTGGATTTATTAACAATGGTTAGTGAATAGCGTAATAAGTCCTTTACTTGTAAATAAAAAAATTTATCGTGTTTCAGAAATTCCCAGAAGATCCTCCCCCACCTGAAAATGTGCCAACTCTTAATATCCGAATTAAGGACGAATTGGCTGATGATAGCTCAGACGGCGATAACTCGGAAGAAATGCCCTTGATCAAAATTAGGAGCATTGAATCAATATCAGACAAAGATACAGATCCGCCGTATATGTAGGTCTTCAAGTAACTCTTAATTTCACCTGTACGTCAAAAAGTGTTCCTAGTGAAAGCGATTTTCTATTTAAATCGGTGTGACTTCTTTACAGCATAGGTTATTGATATAGATTACTGTTACTAACAGGAGAGATATTTGTTAGTTATAAAAATATTTATTTATAATGTTAATTGTTCTGCAGTTATTTATTGTATACCGATAGTAAACACTTCGTCTGATGTCTAACCTTAAGGGTAATAGATTTACTCTAACATTTACTTGTTTTAATGCTATATTTTATGTATATGTACTATTTATGGGTGGGCCATTATACGAATATATGTACTATTTATTTTGATCATTAACCTAATCCACCTTTATGTTTTTGTTTTATTGTTAAAGTGAAGCTATCATTGATATTTAATAAATGAATCAAATTGTAAAAATTTGGAGATTTACGCTATTGTATACTAATTTTCGCAACATTTTCGCCATTAATATTTCTGTATTAAAGAAAATAAATTATTGCGTATGTATAAATCTGCTTACAAATACAATCCTTCTAATTAATTAGCTCAATCCTCAACTAATTAGTTATTTCATTAATTACCATTGCTCAAATATTTACTAATCAAGTTTTATTACTATATCCTGTCATTCTTTTCGTTTCCTCGTCCTTCACAAAGACAGCTGCAAATACTTCCAAATCAGATGATAGCTTTCTTTTGAAAGAAATTCATAATTATCAAATAAGACCACAATTCATTTGTTTGACAATATTTGGTGTGGTAAACTATTTCAGTTGAACATTTCTCTGCAAAATAATCTGCAAAATTTTATGCGAAGACTTGTTCAAGGTATAATACGCCGTCATTAGTTTAAAATTAAGACACTACATAAAAACAAGTTATTTTTGACCATTTTTTGACCATGTAAATCATTGCATTTTTAGTACTACACATGCCTGCTTTCACATCGTGTCTCAATTCGGCCAAGTAATTTTGCATGTCTTCTTATTCTACTCACTGATGGAACCTTGCGAAGTAATTAATGTCCAGGCAGAAGCATTGGACAAAAAGAAGGACGAGAGGAGAAAGTCGGTGACCGTAATGAGGACGGAGAAAGATAACTGCTAATCTAAAAATAAACAATGGGACGACGTTGATTCAAAAAATGATCTGAAATTTGAAATCCTTAATAGGTTAGGAAATTATAAGTTGCAAGTACTAACTCTTGACTCTATTCATTCCTCAAGATCGCGTTTATTATGTCGTATCCTAAATTGCAATACAGCCATTTTTGAGAAGCATGATCTGCATTGAATCTGCCAACAAGTATTCAACATGACGCGACTCGGGCAAGTTCCATTCATTGCATAACATTATCCCATTTACTCCTTCGTACGGGGAAATGAGCAGAGTGAAAGTACCGAAGCGAAAGTGAAAGTATAGGAAGCCCACACAATGCATGGTGTAATGCAAGCGTAAAATGTGATCCACGTTGGAGGATTCTTGTCCATTCACATATTTGAGAACAAGGTCGTCGGGTTGGGACGCGGACGTGGGCTGCACAAGTTGGGTATAGTTATTCGGGTCAGAGAAGTGAAAGTCGCGTAAAATAGTGGGGATGAGGAGTTCTCTAGTGTCCTGGCCATGTTTTACTCAGCCAGGATAAAATGACGATATATTGACGTATCATATTTATTTTGTGTAATAATAATTGAGAGACCGTCCTCTACACAGTTAATATCAAGTCATACCTTTGTTGTTCAAAATATAATGCAAATTTTTAAATGTCATATCGTGACATAAATATAAATATATAGGTGAAGGAGTGAAGTTTCAAAATTTTTCGAATTTAAGTTTAGTGCCTTTTGATTTCCGTCGGTCTGTGTGGGCTTAATTATATAAAAAAATATTCATTATCAAGGCCATTTTTAGAAGCAGGTGTACCCCTTATTATTGTGCAGGTACAATAACGTTAGTGGGAAATGACGGTTTTTTATATCTCCCGAGTGAAAGTTAAGCGTACAAGGAAAAATGTCCCTGCTCAGTGTGACGGTTAAGAAGGCTGAATTTTCTCAAGGACAAGGTACCTAGGCTAGGCGCTGCATATTTAGTTATGTCCCTAATTTCTCTGTCATTTGCAATAGATACAGCTCACGAATGGAACTCGTACGATACGTTGAAGTTGCACAATGTCAAGTCGACCACGGTGCAGGTGAAAGGAGCCAGCCCGAGATGGGAGCAGGACTTTCTTTTGTGAGTCATTTTTTTTCTCTCCAGAAACGTTTTGCACATTGTACGGCGTTATTATTCCATAATGTTTAACCACTTGCCTACCAACTACGTGACATTCACGTACTTACCAAAACAAGGTCCAGCCACTTGCTACGTGAGAGTCATGTAATTAAAAAAATGTCATTAGCAACTATTAGCAATTATTTTGGAGTTTCTGCCATATCAACCAATATTACAATCGGGAATTTTATATGGCAAAATTTGGAATTTTTCTACCAAAATATGAGATTCTTCCAATACCAAGACCATGTTATGAAATGGCTTTTGAGTTTTTTTGAGTTTTCTTTACAAACTCGAGACTTAAAATTGGTCTCAGTAATGACATTAGTGGCACAAGTTAAGGTTATCAAGTGGTTAAAGTCAGTTATCAATACTTACAAATTTTTGGCAAAGTGTGGCAAAGTGGTTGGCATTTATCTCAAAAGGAACACTGCTCGCTTTTCACATGGAGCAAGAACTAGGTGCACTTAAGAATATTAAGTTTTGGTCGGGGCGAATAAGCTACAGGAGAAAGTGCTCCCCTTTCCCTAAACTTTCTCTTCATCCCGTGCAAATAATGGGTTTATGCTAACAAGTCACGTTCCGGCTTTGTTGGGTTTGCTATGTGCACTAAAATAAATATATCCGCTGCAAATGTAAATGCTTGATTTATTTTTTGTGCAAAAGTCGTTGATATTGGGAAGTATAGAATTACAACTTTTTTTCATTCCTTCAAGCGGCTGCCAAGTTTTAACAAATTGAAATTTGACCTTAAATGTTTCTGTATTTAATAGAGAAGTTAAGGTGAGGTTTTCAAATATGTATTGCTTTCGGCAATCATGTACAATGGTATTTTAACAAATAAATGTAAAAGAAACAATAAATCATGCGTCGAAAGTAGGATCCATATAAAAGCTAGTTTTAGCAATATTTAAAAAAAACTTAAACACAAACTCGATTAATTTGTTTGCTATTACAACTCGGCGGTAGAATGGTCGAATTGGGTGAATTTCAAGTGCCTGAAAAAAAATTATTAGCCTTCATGACCGGGGCGTGGGTTTTGCAAAATATCACAACATAAATATTTGCCGTACTCACGTCAGTCGCAAAGCAACCTTATTTGGCAAATTTGAGAAATAAGTTTGCCAAATAAATACATGCCCTGGAGTTGAGTAAATTTGAGAAGAGAAACCCCATGGTTTTTTTAGCCAAAAGTTCTATGTAAAATCTCGAACATTTTTGTAAACTTCGCAAGTTATGTTGATATGCCCAATTTACAAGATTTGCCACATTTGCCAGCAGTTACGTGAGTACGCCCATTATCAATTAAGTTATCCAGAAATTAAAGAAAACATACACTGTCACTAACAAGCAACAAACTGTACAACCTCGACAATTCACAACCACGCGAATTAGTCTGACGCTGCAGAATGAAACAAGGTTTTATCGTCAGTCGAAACAACATTTTTCACCCAAAGCTATATACATATTTGAAAACCTCGTCAAATTCTCTATTATGTACAAAAACTTTCAAAGTCAAAGCTTAATTTGTAAATATTTGGCAGCCGCTAAAATGAATGAACAAATATTGTCAATGTTCTGTGTATCAGAAGATTCCAGTATCTCATTAAATATTTAAAAACTAATATAGATATTATTAAAATATTTGGCCATACAGCCGTCGGGTATCACTGGCTCAATCTGAGAGAAATTCAGCACTCAAACGGGGTAAGAGTTACGACATTTTATACCTTAATATGAACTTCAATTTTGACATTCATTCAGACTTTATAAGGCAAATATTGTACTCTGAACTTTTTACCAATTTAGGAATGCAGCCACTGCCAATGGCTAGCCTTGGATGCAGATCTCGTCATTAGAAATGGAGTAGTTTTCGGGACCAAGGCACCAACAGTAGGTTATCATAAATATGTAAATATTAAAGATAAGTGTAAAGATTTAATTGTTATTTAAGGCGCACTCTATCCTCGTAGATGTCCAGTTTGTTCCCCCATGCAGTAAGTAATCCATTTCATTTAGAGACTGTAAACCGTACTGCATATTTTTTATCCAATCTAGGCAGTCACATGGAGTGCGATGAGATGCCGAGAAAGCTCCAAATTTTCAATTCGATGCAGGACCAAGAGACTGAAAGCAATAAACGACAGCAATACTATGTTAAATGTGAGCATACTTTTAACCTCATTTTGACCATATCAATTACTGGGGCAATTCACGCGGAGGTTTGTAACCTTGTAAACAGCATAAACTTTGTAAACTTACAAAAGTAAATATCTCCAAGGAAAATTAGCTTACAAACCTTTGTAAATTTACGCAGATTGATGTTTCATGACTTGATATGTTTCATGACTTGATATGGGAGCCAATGTGTTTATCATATTAGATATCATAAGTCATTTGAATAAAGATTGAATTGAATTGAATTCAGGGAGTCTTTTTAGTTTGTAAAAGTTTGTAAAATGGTTTTACAAAGGTACACGGTTACCAAAGACTGCGTGAATTGCCTCAATGCAGGATTGTTCACCGTTAATATATACAAATTAATTGTTGCTAACGTTGGCTTTTCACCAAAATAGTACTGTGATGATAAACTGTTCAGACTTAATTTATTGACGCAAACAAACCCTCGCGACCCAAATTAATGCAACAATTATTTAGAAATTAGCCAATAGCAATCAAACGAGATAGTTGGAATTCAAATTAATTAAATTAGCAGAATTTATTTTACCATGTGATGTAGTCAAGTTCAATTGATTTGTAAATTGCGTCGTTGAAATAAGAAAACAAAAATAAATTCGTAACAAATTTTGGAAGGATGCTTACAATAACTTAAATTATGTAGTCAATGTATCCTCCAATTTTTAAATGCGCGATATGACGACTTTAGGCTGGAATTTGAATTTTGATAAATACGTCGAAGGAAGAATTTGATCCGCATGGTTGTGTCGCTATGCTACGACATATGATGACTTTGGGTGGAAAAGGTGACTTATTTTTAAACGTAGTATGACGAATTTGATCGCCAAGTGAGGTTTAACAAGATACGTCTTCTGAAAAATTTTGTTAAAATGAGCTTAACCAATTAGATCCCGGTACCATGACAGTTATGTAGTTGTCGAAACAAACTATAACGCCCGACTACATGACAGTCATGTTTTTTTCAAAACTGTCATTAGCAACTGAATTTTGAAATATAAAATTATTTTTAAATTTCTCCCATATCAACCAATGTTAAAATCAGGAATTTTATATGGTAAAATTTGGCATTTTTCTATTCACAATATGAGATTTTTCCAATACCAAGACAATGTAAAAATCGTCTTTGAGTTTTTTTTTACAAACTCGAGATGTAGATTTTGAATTAATTGGTCCTAGCGACCCCAAAAATGTCGACTATTTGGGGAGGCAAGTGGTTAAACTATAATTGCAAAACATATTGTATTTTTGTGCAGCTGGAGATTCCGAAGACAGTGATTACACATCAGAAACCTCGTACGACTGTTGGTACGAGGCGAACGACCCTCCACCGCACTGCAGATATCCACAAGTCCACCGCAGAAAGCAACTCCCTAGGATCCCTTCTTGCAGGAAATACAATATCAGTAGTGGGGATGGGTACTGGGAGGAGGATCCTTTAGATGTTGAGGCAGGCCCTCCGTCCTATAATAGCAGGCCACACCAATCATCAAACTACAAGACGAACAGGTACTTAACAAAAATATTAAAATAAATTATTTTAATATTATTAAATAAAATAATGGGTACGCTGCAAGAAATCCGGTGTATTCACATATCCACCCCGCGTGTAGTGCTAATTTGTCACCATGAGATGTCAAAAATTATTGATACCAAGGCGGTGTAGTCGCATATCCTCCCCGCGTAGTGGTGTTAAATTTTACACCGTGTGGTGTAAATTATGACACCATTCGGGACAAAATTTAGACCACAGGGTGACAAATTAACACAAAAATTAGCACCGCTAAATTTATACCAGCGGATTTTTTGCAGTGCATGAATTACAACTCAAATTGCTACCAAACTCCTTTCAGTTACGCTTATGACGAATGGTATGAGGGATACGACACGGCCTACAACCAATACCCGGTACCGAAGTCAAAAAACCTTCCACAAATTCCAATTCAGCATTCAACTCGAAAACGGCAATTGCCTACTCTGCCAAAACAAATGTCCTCCTCTCCAAGAACCACGGAGTCTTCCATCTCGTATCAAAGAGAGCATTCCAACACACCTTTTTTCAACGATCGATCCCTTGAGTATGGCAATTATGATGGAGAATCCACTTCAAACTGCAACAACAATGCACTAGTTGCTAACTTGCCAATAAGGGATGACAATCCAACTGTTCCAATCTCTGTGAACAATGAACACGAGGAAGGAATGGAATGCGAAGCTTGGCAGAATTATGGCTATCATGAAGGCAACGAGTACGATGAGACGTTGTACTATCAGGAACAACTTGATCCTATCACTGCAGCCCAACCTGACACAAATTTAACAGATAACGGACAAGACGCACATTTATATTATGATCATAACCCAGCCTATAAGGGAATTCCACCTGAAATCACAATTGACCAGCCAAATTATACGGGGCAACATGACCCCGACTACTATGCAAGTTCAAGTCAGATTGTTGATCGTTATAGCGATGACCCAATTGTACAAGATGGATATGGGTCATATGATCAGGAGTGGTATGACGCAACTGAAGAAACGAGTTATCCATGGGAAGGATCCGATGTTCCTCAACCGTCTAAGGAGATAACCCATACCCCAGTACCACCCACCCCCACAAGTTCCGCTGCAAATAAATTTGCTTCCGAAATGAAGTTCGCCCTACCCCACCTGTCCTCACTAACGAGCGGATTCTCCAAACTTGGAAACTTTGTTTCAAACGCGGCAAACAAATCTGGATTGTCTGTTCCACCAGTGAATCAAAATACACAACCCAATCATGAAACTCAATTTGTCCTTGATGCCCAACCAGCACAGAATCCTGTAACTGTATTGTCAAGCCTAGTCGAAGTCGAGCCCTTTGTGGAAGAAGAGTGGGATAATTGGGATGGAAAGTACGAGGATGACGTTGAACACTACACAACTCAAAGTTATGATAACCATGAAGTAGACGGAGAAGACTACAACAAGCCTGTTCCCATTCATCTGGACTCGATAGAGTCAAATGTGTCGGAAGGGGCGTACGAGAGACAATCATCGTTGGACTCTCCAGTTGAAGTTGCATACCCTCCAAATCAAGGGAAGGATAGGGAGGTTGGGAAATCCTGGTTAGAACTAGAAAGTGGAGGAGGCATGACAACTATGTCGTTTGAAGAGAAAGTACCAAAGAATAGCAGAGTAAGAAAAACAAAAGGGATGACGGCCAGAGAAAAGTGGATCTGGGCCACCAAGCGGGTCCGCGCCCAATTAACGGTAAGTAATAGACATAGACCAAGCTTCGCCCATACGAGATTTTTTATGCAAATATTATATTAATGTCGGGTCTCTTCTTTCATCACTTTTTCTATAATAAAATTCAATTCGCAGACAATAACAGCAGCAAGGCGAGGAACAGGTGGTCTGACAACTTCAGTTGCTCGAGCTCCACCCACAGCTGAAGAACTGGTAAGAAAGATTTTACAATATTCGTAATTACAACAGGCGAAACAAAATCCAGTTATACCAATATTGGGCTCCTAAATTGGACGTTGTTGTTGCAATAACGCATTACAATTAATTTCTATTTTGTCGCATGTCTGATCATCACTTTCTTCTGACAGGAGTTGGTAAGTTCATTATTGTTATTTTACCTGCTAACAAATTTTTTTGTTTATCTCCAACCGGTGCCCATTAACATTCGAAAATGATCGAATTAAACTTAATAGTCCGGGTTAAATTATTCATGTCCACACCGTTTTAGATAAATATTCACAATTGGTAAATCATAATTATATTTCTGCTTCCCTAGAGTATGCACGTGTACAGAAAGACGGTAAGACTTTCTTTTCGTCAGAGTTATGCATTTGTGAAATTCTTGGTTATTCACATTTACAGCTGCAAGCCCTAATTTACCCAATTTCTTGCATTACACCGCACAATTTTGTGCCTTGGTCGGCCACTTCGCCAACTTATTGTTGCGAATGTGAAGGTCTTATCTGGGGTGGGTGATGCCATTTATTGTGCACTATTATGTCATTTTTAACTAAAATACATTTAACATTAAAGGAATCGGACGTCAGGGAGTCCGCTGTGCTGAGTGCGGTGTAAAATGCCACGAAAAATGCAAGGATTTGCTGAATGCAGACTGCCTCCAAAGTAAGCAATTCATAAAATATGTAAACTTGACATATTAGAGAGGTAGAGATATTTGTATTTTAAACTAGTTGGATTGTAGAGTTGTATTCTAAGGCGAATGTTTGTACTGTCGGTGAGTTGATTTTAAGATCCTAGATGTACACTGAATTTCATTGTGTACCTCAACTAACTGAGAGTCTTAATTTACCATGGCGCGAATTTTGAACCTACATTACAATCAAGTTCCGAGTAGGGACTCGTTTCGTCGGTCTGTACTCTATTGTAGAGGCGATGAGTAACCTTTCGCAGTAGAAACTAGAATCGAAGTCGACTAGAATACAGCACTCTCAACCTCTCTATTATGCGTAAACATTACATTGTTAAGTATTTGCATTAATGAAATCTGTCATTTCTTTTCTGCTCCCCCATTTTTAGCCGGTTTTACAAGTAAGAACTAAATTTATTAAATGGTTTTTCTTTCCTGGTAGAAAATTATATATGCCAAATTTTAAACAGGAGCGGCCGAGAAGATGTGTAGACATGGTTCCGGAGGGGACAAGGCAAACAGTATTATAACCGCCATGAAGGAAATCATGAAGCAGAGAGAAAGTCAGAAGCCGGAAATATTTGAGCTCATCAGGTTTGTCCATGACATTTACATATTTGAGTTTCGAAACCCTAAATTTATTCGTGCCCTGACAGAACAACATTTACCGTGGACGCTACCATTCATGTCGACAATATTGCACAAGCAGAGGTCTCCGTCCTTCAAGGAACTTCCAAGTGGTCGTGCAAGATATGTATCACGGGTAGTGGATTCAATTTAGCCGGCTTTTTGACAAATAAATTAAAATCTTTTTAACTCCTGGAATCACAGTAATTTGTGCGAAAGGGTTAATGGCCAAGGATAAGAGTGGGACGTCCGACCCTTACGTGACCATGCAGGTTGGAAAAGTGAAGAAAAGAACGAAAACTCTGCCGCAAGAACTTAATCCTGTGGTGGGTAAAATTCTTCTCCAAACTTTTTAAATATTTGTGGTGGGAGTATTTAAACGGGACCCAATTCTTGCTGAGAGGTTTGGTGACGGATACTTGTAATTAGAACCATTTAACCTCTGAGAAGAATCAGACAAGACTTGGATCTCGTAATAGTGCCCCGACCATGTTAAAATATTTCAATCATGATACTAAATGAATTTGGTTTTGCAGTGGGATGAGAAGTTTTACTTGTAAGTGAGAAATACTCTTAAGAATATGAGTCACATTTTTTTATTTCATTTATTGACTCCCAGTGAATGCAACAATTCATCGGATCGTATCAAAGTGCGAGTTTGGGATGAGGATAACGACTTCAAGTCCAAGCTGAAACAAAAGCTGACGCGAGAAAGTGATGATTTCTTGGGCCAAACGATAATTGAGGTGAGGATGATCCGTTTATCTCTAGATTTTACCAACAAATTCCTTGCCGGCTAATAAGTTAATGATTTTTCTTAATTAGTCATAAATAAATAACTATATCAATAAATTTATTTACTTCTTCACAGGTCCGCACTCTGTCAGGCGAGATGGACGTTTGGTATAATTATTTCAACAAATATTTCACCAAATTATGGCTAACGACAAACTTTGGCAGGTACAACTTGGAGAAACGAACAGATAAGTCTGCCGTCTCTGGAGCGATCCGCCTCCACATCAGTGTCGAAATCAAGGGCGAAGAAAAGAAGGTATTGCACTGTTTTACTCATTATTCAGCCCTTATAAAAATACATATCTGTCTCAGGTTGCCCCATATCACGAGCAATACACGTGCCTTCACGAAAACCTATTTCGCCATTTGTCCCACGTCTCCCCGAGAGGAATGATACCGCTGCCAACGTCCGGAAAGGGGGATGATGCCTGGAAAGTATATTTTGAAGTGAGTGAGGAACACGTTTTAATTTTTTATGATACTTACTGAGACATTTTATTGTAGAACCCTGGTCAGGAAATTGTGGACGAATTTGCAATCCGATACGGGATAGAGCCAATCTATCAAGCCATGACGTGAGTGAATTGTGACGTAAAATTGTGGGAGAAATGACACCAATAATTTTGCAGGCATTTTCACTCCTTGTCCACAAACTACTTGTGCACCTCCGTGCCTCCCGTTATGAACACGCTGCTGGCAAATATTAACGCTTACTATGCCCACACGACTGCAACGTCTGGTATTTTTTGAGATAGTAATTCATAGTAATGAAGTGATCCACTGATAAAGTGTGTGTTCTTCACAGTATCGGCGGCGGATCGTTTCGCGGCTTCAAATTTTGGGGTAATATGATAAAGTATAGAATTCATTGGTCAATCTAATTTCTACAATTTTAGAAAGAGAAATTCATCAAACTTCTCAACCAATTGCACAATTCGATCCGACTAGATTTGTCCATGTATAGGTGGGTAGCCTACCTGGTGGTCTTGGAGACGTTATTTTAAACAATTTAAATTGCAGGAAGAACTTTCCAGCCTCCAGCAACGAGAAACTTATAGATTTAAGATCAACAGTGGAATTATTGACGAGTATAACCTTCTTCCGCATGAAGGTATAACGAGTTCTGGTATTATTTAGCATGGAAGGTTTGTCGGTTTTTTTGAATTTTTTTTGGCATACTTATTTTAGGTTCAAGAGCTCTCAAGTCCTCCACGGGTCAGTATGGTGGTCAAAGATTGTGTCAAGGCTAGTTTACGATCCACGTATCAATTTTTGTACGAGAATTGCAACCAGCTCAGCTCCACGGAGTCTTTGGTTAGAAATTATTTCAAATTATTGTAACGCATTGAGTGACATGGTTGCCATTTAGAGTTATGCTGACACGTCCGGGATAAGAGGGGGTGACGATGACAACAATGGACCAAGACTGGATAGTGTCGATTTCTGGTTGAAATTCATTGCGTTGGTTGTCTCTGTTGTGGAAAAGGATAAACTCTGCTATGCAGAGGCGCTCAACCAATTTCCGCATGACCTTGACATTGCGCAGGTACTTAGAAAATGGTTTAGCAAATGATCAGTGTTTTTTCGTGATATTGGCCATACTCACGTCACTTTTGGTAAATGTGGCAAATCTCGTAAATTGGGCATGACTTGCGAATTTTGCCAAATTTACGAGAGTTTGCAAAATTTTTGGATGGAAAACCATAGGATTTCTCTTCGCAAATTTACTCATCTCCAGGGCATGCATTTATTTGGCACACTTATTACGCAAATTTGCCAAATAAGGTTGCTTTGCGACATAAGAACCCGACCTGAGTACAGCCATTATTAGTCATCATAAGTTGTAAAAGATTTTAAGAATTTCTCATTTTTCAGATTTCGGCTGCAACAATGTGGTGCTTGTTTGCATTGGGTAAGGCAACCTTCTGTATTCAATCTGTAATAAAACGAATGAAATAATATTACCCATTTTTTTAGACATCAAATACGCCCTTCAAGAACACGAGCAGCACCATCTCTGCAAATCTGCGTCCTACATGACTCTACACTTTAAAGTTAAATGGTTCTACAACAATTATGGTGAGTTTTACGAAGCACAAACATAAACCGTAATAAATAACAAGCCCATATTTATATATTTGCATGAATCATAGTAAAAAACGTGCCACCCTACCAGGGTTCCGTGCCCGAATACTCGGCGTAAGTTTTTATTTATTAAAAGTTTTGCTGTTGTAGTGACACTCATTTGTGCCTTGTTTTTCAGATGGTTTGAGCCTTTCGTCATGCAGGTAGTACATGGTCGACGTTATCCATTCAAACCATTTAAACGTTTTCAAATTATTTTTTCCACAGTGGTTAAACGAAAACGATACTATTTCACTAGAATACGTGCACGGTGCCTTTAGTCGCGACAAGAAAGATGGGGTATAGATATAAATTTTCAATATTGGGCTAGAGATTTCTGTATTCTAGTCGATTTCGATTTTAGATTCTACTGTAGAGGTGACTCATCGCCTCTACAATAGAGTACAGACCAACGAAACGAGTCCCTACTCGGAACATGATTGTAATGTAGATTCAAAATTCGCGCCTTGATAAATTGAGATTCTCAGAAACTTTAAGTACAAAATGAAATTCAGTGTACATCCAGGATCGCAGAATCAACTATCTCGCCTACAGTACAAATATTCTGAGTAGAATACAACTCTAGAATCCAACTACTTTACAATACAGATTTCTCTACCTCTCTAATCGCATCAGAATACCTTTTCACATTATATAATTCTTGCCCAACAATCTTACAGTTTCAAAAAAGCAGTGAACACGCCCTATTTTCTGTCTCGGTGGTGGACGTCTTCACCCAGTTGACACAGTGCTTTGATGTCATCTCTAAGTTGGAGTGTCCAGATCCCGACATTTGGAACAAATACTTGACCCGGTTTGGGAAAACTATTGCCAAAGTGTTACTCACATATTCGGACATTGTTAAGAGGGAGTTCCCCCAACATACACTGGACGCAAGAGTGGTATAGGGCTTTGACATGGTTTCAGGAAGAGATAGAAGCATTAAAGGTTTCCATTTTTTCTAGGCCTGCATCCTCATGAACAACATTCAGCAGGTTCGCGTCCAACTGGAGAAATTGTTTGAGTCGATGGGTGGTATTAAGTTGAACGAGGAGGCTGCCAATATCCTGACCACCTTGCAGTTACAGCTGAACAGTTGTTTGGACGAGTTGGCGTTGATATTTACAGAAGGGTATGTATGACATTTATTGGGTTTCATTGAACGATGGGTGTTTGACGGATTTTTTTTTCTTGGTGATCGCACTACAGTCTTGAAAACCGCATTACTGATAGCGTGAAACAATTGGTGTGTCTACTGTATGCTGTGAAAGGTAATTAAAAGGAAACATGTACAATTTGCGAATATCATTTGTGACACTGGGATACTTTTTTTAGGCCAAGGGCAAACTACTACCCGAAATCAGGTTGCCGTGGAGGCGGACCAAGTTCTTCGCCCACTCATGGATCTACTTGACGGTATGTTAAAGATTACTGCAAAATCTGACAAATGCCCATCTCTTCACTTCCTAAAATTTGAACATAGTCAAATATGCTTTACATTGGCCGTACTCACGTCAGGTTCTTATGTCGCAAAGCAACCTTATTTGACAAATTTGCGAAATAAGTTTGCTAAAAAAATACATGAGTTTAGTAAATTTGCGAAGAGAAATCATATGGGTTTTCAGCCTAAAGTTTTACAAAATCTCGCAAATTTGGTAAACTTTGCAAGATATGTTGCAATTCAGATGTAAGACATCGGCCCCAATTTACGAGATTTGTCAACAGTGACGTAAGAACCGCCACTGTAATTTCATAGATACGTAAACTAGCGTAACTTTTCCATTGCACAGGGTCTTTATCACTGTATGCTCAATATTGCGAAAAGTCGGTGCTTAAACGGTTGCTGAAGGAACTTTGGAGGATCGTTATAAAAACTATGGAGAAGCAAGTTGTCCTGGCGCCTTGTGCCGATAAAAATGTATGTCTTATCGTACCAAATATTTCATAGCGAGCAAATGCGCATGGCAAGTTTGAATTAGTGACAATAACACAATTGTCGCAATTCATTTGATTAGTTCTTTGGAGATGCGTCTTAATTATCCTACCGTTAAAAAATCATATCAAAATAAACAAATCACTAATTTTTCTCTAGACTTTACTAAAGAATCTGACAAGCAATGCTAAGAAAATTATGGAAATGCCAAACGTAGAAACGATGGGGAAATTCTTTCAAAAACCAAAACAGGATGTCCACCCGGGTGTTACTGTAAGAACTATGGATTTGACTTGAATGGTGAGACTATGATTAAGGAATTAATGCAACTGTCATCCACTTGCAGGATAGCGACACTCTTTTGTCCCCAAGACAAACCGCGGTGTTTGAGGTGGTTTTGGACACCATTAAGGACTGTTTCCACGCTTTTGGTGCTGGGCTAAAAATGTCATCTTTTGAGAAATCAGATGAACTCAGGTCACTTCGGAGTTCTGTGTCGTTGAACAAATAAGAGATGAAATGCTTTCATTTTACACGTATTGCTACCAGATATTATTTTCTAAAACAACCATTTACGTACCTAGTACGTGAAATGTACGTCCTCTGTTCGGTTTAACGAACTGAGGACGTACTAGGTATGTCAGTGGTTGTTTGGGTTGTGTTCTCTTCTAAAGTTTGAGCATGACTAATAAAAATAGTTTAAACAGCGTTTTGCTTCAAATTCAGATTTGATTTTCTTCATAACTTATATATCATATAGTTGAGGGAGTTCGACAGAGTACGCGATGCGTAATTTAGACAATGGCAATGTATATTGATGGTCAAACGAATGGTGAATGATGCGATAGTGAGTATAAATCGTGAGAAAACGCTATCAACTTTAGTAATGCTGGAGTGCGTGTTTGTCTGCTTGAGTGAGGGCATATTTAAGATTTGGCTCTATCCATTACTTGAGTCTTATCATTTTTCATTCATTTAATTGTTGCACCGTGACTTGAAATACCAATCAAACCAAACTTGTCTCAAAGAGTGATAAGAGTTACAGCTTACTACCACCAAAGATTTGATATGATAAGGTATTCAGAAAATATATTTAAATGTGCAAGTGGCTCTATTCACTCTGATCGTACCCTAGCTATATTCCATATTATGGAACATAGGTGAGGGATAACTTAACTTCATACATAAATTACAGGCTCGTGGACTTAATTCCTTCACAGTAAACAGATTAATGAACTTGATTGTGCCTTAATCAAGACAGAGTGACAAGGTTCGAAGGCATTCTCATGGTGACAAAAATATGGACAGTTATCCCCATATAATCACAGAATATGAAGAGTCAAATACTGCTCAAAATTGTTAAAACTAAAATTCATTATACCAAAAAGAAATCAGGCTATCATCACAGTTATGTGGAAAGCAGTGTTACCAGAGTGGTGGTAGGTTATCATCAAAAGGATATATACTGTTACCGTGCTGGTGGCAAGTATTTATTTCCCAGTGCATGAACTAGCAACCGGTAATGACAGAATATTAATAAACATGGTTAGAGTCAAGTACACAATACTGCCCGGTAATGTTCCCTACTCTGAAGGAATTTTGAAATTTTCGGAAAATCTACATCCTTATATCCTCCATCAGTGTTCCGGCTGGCTTTAAATCTTATGGTTAAAACCGGTTTTAACCGGCTATTTTGGCCGATGAAGCTGGGGTGAAGCTGGGGTGAAGGGCGCCAGTGGAATACCTGGCGCCAAAGGACAAAGTGGAGTACTAGGTTAAAGAATGCAAATCTAAGGAATGGGCCATTACTATTTATGATGTCGTAACTAATATTCCATATTATTGGTGGAGTAGGCGTGCCCGGTGTGAACGGAGAGAAAGGAGTGCGGGTACGTTATTTTGTATTTAAAATTGATGACTCACTCGCCAAGTATGATTATCGCATAGGGTCAAGATGGAACTGGTGGAATTTGTTGAGATCCCTAACAATGTATAAATTTTGTCGGCAAAGCTGGATTATTACACTTGTTTTTATTACTAGCCTTTTAATCCGTGTCACCATGAAAATAAATGTATCTTTACATGAAAAAAATGTGTCAATATATCGGTCAAAATAGCAAACGGGAAGCCTCAAAGCATTGTAAATTTTTAAATTAACTGAAAAATCCACTAGACATTTTGTATTTTGGAGAGATCTACTACCTTTAGATTTTTCATGATTTCTTCCTCACTTTCATGATGAAAGTGAAAATTATTTAATTCCTTTACTAGCAGATATACTGCTATTTAAGAATTAGTTATTCAAGAATTGATTATTCATCAATCATGACGCCCTTGCAGATTTGGGGTATTGAAGTTTCTGCATCTTCAACGCTTTCTCGCCTTAAAAGGATCACACTCCAGCACCCGTAAAGAATAGATCCCTTCCACTGTCCCGAACATATTGCATGGCATAGACACGCTTATCCTGTAAAAAATGAAAATGATCCACATGCGCTTATGGTCATCCTGTCTACGCTTCCATCATAGAGGAAATTACCGAATCATTCACTTCGAAATTGGCATCAATTGCATGCTTTCTGTCCACTTTTGAAACGTCTCCATCCTTAAATAAATACCAGACACTATCCAACTTGCCGTAGACAGTGAAATATCCCGGGGTTTCCACGTAATGCCAACTCCTCCTCTCGAATGAAGTATTACAATAAGCTTTTGTAAATGTTGGACTCTCCATAGATACCGAACTAGGGGTAGAAATCGTCGCCCCCGTGAAATTCTAGCGGCATGCGATAAAAACCAAAGAACTCGGACGTACAGCAGGATACGTTGCAGCAATTCTGTTCGCCTCTACGGATGATTGATTAGAATAGTGCATTGCATGGAATAATTTCTTCAGGGCCTCCATTTCGAGTTCTGTCCACTATTATCATATGTGGCCACTGCTTGGCGAAAGACTGGAGTGAAGTAGAGAACCTGTAATATCATGTTTAGATAGCCGGTTGCCCCCCTGTCGTGCAAAAGATGCATTTTACAACGCTAAAAACGACGACGTATTTGCTTGCAATTTAAATATCACCTGGTTCACGAGTCCAACATATTTCTCGGTATTCTCGGGACAAGGTCCCTTACTTTAGGTTGCCTTGGATTTCAAAGAGTTTACAAAGAGGGAAACGAAGGCAAACTATTTCAAGAAAAATTGAGGCTTGAAAAACATCATGGCAGGTACACTGCAAAAAATCCGGTGTAAATATCGTAAATCCGGTCTATTTACACCACGCGGTTAGCATATGTGACTACACCGGATTTTTTGCAGTGTACAAGTATATTATACAATCGGGAACTCGGAATATAAAATTTCACAATCCCAAATCTGCTAGAGGAGTGACAGCCTCGTAATGATGAACACGACTTGTACATAAAAAATCAGCACTTTTGTGTAGATTTTTCTGTGTAAAATTATCATGTAGGTGAGAAATGCCAACAGTTCCAAGAATGAGTAATGGATAGAGTGAATACATTTGGTGAAGTAATAAACGCGTCTTTGGATAATCAATCCCATAAATGCTTACGTGTCCACACAATTAGCTATGCAAGAGACTGGTTTTCACTTGTGGGTTGTACATGGTAAAAAGTGCGGTGTAAGGATGCAATCGATATTGCAAATGAACCCGTTTCAATGATATGAACTGTTAAGAACAAGGTTTTGGACGTTTTTGCGAATTATTTATTCTTACGCAAGTTTTCATTTCCATTCTAAACCGCGTGTATAGTACATGTTTACATACGTATGCATGCAGATGAAAATTGTGTAAAGTATGTATTAATTATAATATACTTTAAGTACTAGAAAATTTTTTGTACCAAATAATTTAAACCTAATTATAATTGCTTATATTTACAAACAATGAAAACTAACAATGCGATGTCGTGAAGTGATCACCTCCGATTTTGATGGGACTTATTTTAATTTGTTCACCCCCAAATATAAGCCGACCCGTATTTTTGCGTTTTCGATAATGCGCGCATTTAAGCACGTAGCGGGAATTTCAAAACCTTTTTCAGCCAAAATCCCGGATTTTAAAAATCACAAGAACTTTTCGAATTTTGGCGCGACTTAAAAAAACCTCTGAGTACAGCTTTGCTTAGCCCGAACCTGTATTTGATCACTGTTATTAATTTGCCCGACTATTTTAAAATCATATTTTAAACCTGCATTTAAAATTTTGGCTTTATCTAACAATTTTCAAAACCGGTGTGGGTCATACCCTCCTGGGTCCGGATGGTTACATATTTTCTCAGATTTCAGACACAGATTTTCAAAATTTAAGTCGCCTTCCTTCAATAAAAGTCGGTCGTCACCCAAATTTCAGCTCTCTACGATAATTTCTCAAAATCAGAGTAGGTGACCCACTAGGATCCCTCCGATCAAATATTTAAAAAATTTTGCTGCACATTAATCATTTCCAAGCCATAAAGTACCACCATGCCAAATTTCAACCTCCTAGAGAGATTTTGAAAAACCAGTATGGGTCACCCACCCTGATAAAATTTTCTAACATTTGGCTTCATATATGTACTTATTTTATGACCCCATATGCACTTCCATGCAAAAATTCGTCAACTTTGAAAATTTTCAAAAAAAAATTGAAAAAAGAGAATGGTCCCCCCTTCTCTAGGTTAATCGGTGAAAATATTTTCGACCCCCACCGGTCAACCACTTATCCAATCAACCCCAAAAACTATACAGCACGTCACACTCCATAGATGCACATTTCTGCCAAATTTCATCCAAATCGATCAGACAGACAGACGGACAGACAGACAGACAGAACGGGTACATAAGCCCAGGTTCGGGCTAAAAATCAAGAACATGTATGCTTAGAATTACTTTGTCTAATTTATAAAATTGTGTTTTAAAATTTTTTTGTAAATTCAAATTTTTATGCAGCTTTTGAATTTTGAAAAATTTCAAAATTTTGAATAACTCGAAAATTTTCTAAATTTCCAAATTTCGAAAAAAAATATTTTTTTAAACTCGAGGATGTAATTCTGAGCACACATGTTCCCACCACGCGCTTAAATGCGCGCATTATCGAAAACGCAAAAATACGGGTCGGCTTATTTTTTTCGGTGAACAAATTAAAATTAGTCCCATCAAAATCGGAGATGATCACTTCACGCCATCGCATTGTAAGTCGAATATTTGCTTTTAACAGAGCCATGCATGTCCCGCCTTAAGATAGATACAAGTCACTACAAACAATCAAACCTTATATTCCACCCCGCAGATTTTCAAGGTTCGCAGTGTCTCTGAAAAAACATCCAAAATCCTCCTTATTTCATCATTACAATAACCCCCTTCCATTTGGAATCCGTCCAGAGGTACCCAAATTTGATTTAGTGGCCTCCCCTTTAAAAACTTCAACCAACTCAAAGTTACCCCCCAAACTGTAAGTCGTTCCAGTCTTGGCATCACACCATCATCCATTGCCTGGATAATCACCATGTCATTGAAGCACGTCGGACCAAGTAGTTCAAGGACGGTTACATTCCTGGCCAAGTGTGCGTACTGTAGGGCAGGGAAAACTAAATGGTGCAGATCAAAGGAGGCGTCTGACATCCCTTCCATCCCGTTCAGGTCAAGGGTCAACCATTCAAGTTGATGAAGACAAATTCTATCTTCTGCAAATGGGAAGCTATTCCTGACAGGGTGACCCGCTCCGCATTCCAGGGCAATGTTAAGCCTACCAAGAGAAGGCAGTAGATGAAGAATGTCACCGACGAATTCCATCTCGTTTATACCATCGCTTAACAGGATCCACGAAATTTTGATGGTTTTCACTTTATGAATTCTAAAAAGTTCTAGAATCAAAGTCTTGATACTGTTTTCCGTGTAGGAAATTTGCAATTTGAAATCATGATGGTGGTAATGCCCACAGTTGTAAATGTATTGGAGTAGTTGTGCATGAGAGAGCTGGGGGAGGTTCAAGTTCACAATTGTTTTCTGAAGAAAGACAGATTGCAGGGCATCCTTCCATGTAGAATTTACTAGCCTGGCGTTTTTTAATTCTGGCAAACTGTCAACGTTTTGTAGAATTTTGCAAACCAGCTTTAAAAATGAAAAATAATAGTTAATTGCTCTTTATTATCGTGTCATACAGTAAATGTGCTTACGTAGGGGTTTAGAAATATTTTGTTGGCGATTTCACTTTCCTCGGGATCCATGGTAAAGAAGAATAATATGCGGGTTATCACTAAAACACTTTCTGGCACAGACATGATTTGGTGACTAATCTGGTTATGAGGGCGATCTCTATAGTAAGCATGGTGTGACGTGATTACTCATTTATGATGAGGCACATTCATCCACGTCAGTATACTGTAATGCTAATAACAGTCAACGCGATGATGGTGATTCTGGGCTGAATATATTTTTTTTCCTTGTCTTTCCTTGCTGTGTTTATTATGGGATGAGGAATGGGATTAGCTCAAATTCTGGTGCGGTACGAATCTGGTAGAATTTTGTTGTCATGATTAACAATATCTGATGATAAAGGGTGGCCCGAAAGTTTAGCCCTGTTATAAATATTTTGGACGACTTGTTTTTTTTGATGGCACGAACCTTGCGGACGAGCATTTGCGGACAAGGAGTTGCGGAAGTAGGAAAGTTCTGGGCATGCGAATTTCTGGCGTCAATGAAAGTTACATATTGTGAAATTACCATATTATTATTTAAAGCTTAACTCAGATTAACTTAGACTGGCTTTGTGGGTAGTTTTTTAAAAAGTCGCAGCACCCGGTTCCTGACATATTTTTTTCTGAAAGTCCATTTCCAAGTTGTTAGGTGTGTAAAGTTTGAAATTTTTAAAATGAGTGGTCTAAGAAATACACGAAGTGAAAGTGAAGCCTTGGCGAGTGTGCCAGTTCCATAAATCCACGGCCGAGTTTGACTCTAACGTGACCTAGCAACACTTCAAACTTGAAGGAAATCCAAAATATACAATTTATACATACACTAGGAAGTATAACGATTGTAAAAAAGTGAAATTAAAAAATATCACGGACGAACTCCCACCACTGGAACCCTTGAAACTTTGGAGTAAGCAGAGAAAGTGTTCACCAGCAATCCCTCCATCACAATTGCTGGTGCTGCCCAGAAATTGAAAATTCCAACATCTTCTTTGGCCTGCATCAAACTTACGAAACTGGGCTTCAAGGCTAGAGTGAAGAAACCTGCACCAAAATATGTCAAGGACCAGGAAAATCGTGCGAAGATAGCATTCCCAAAAATCTATCATTCCCTGTCAGAGAAAGTTGCAGTCATTTACGATGAAACGTATGTCATTGCAGACCCTTCTGAAGCACCGGGCAAAAAACATTATCACTACAGGGACCCTGCCCAAGTAAATTATGCCCACGAAGTTAAGGAAAAGTCGTAGTACCCTGAAAAACTCTTACTTTGGCAGGCGTTGGACAGCTCGGGGCACATTTCACGATCATACATTACGAAGTGGACAGTAACCAAAATATCCATAAAAACGAATGTCTCCGCAAGCGGTTACTTCCGTTAATATGTAAGCATCACGAACGGAAGATTTCTTGTTCTGGCCGGACATGGCGACGTCACACTACGATAAACAAGATACGGCTACATGGAGAGCAATTTCGTCATCAAGAATACAATGCTCCAAGCGTACCACAATATCGTCAGAATGAAACTTTTTGGGCACTTTGCAAATTCAAATAGTCGAAACATCGTAACAAGCCCAAAAAAATTTGGACACACTTTGAAAGTTCCATCACAAAACAGGTTGTCACTTAACTCTAAAAATTTCAGATTTTGTGGTGAAGCGAAAATGAGAATTCTGTCTTTGGATTTTCCTGTATCATGTGCTAACAATGCGATGACGCCAGCGGTCTCGCTCCGATTTTGACGAAACTACGTAATTAGGTATATTTACATAAATAATTAGACACATGTATGGGATTTTTTCATAATGCTCAGTTTAAACAAAGTTTTGGTGGTATAAGTGAGCGAGAATTGACATGTTTTCCAGGCAAATGCGTTGACCTTTCTTTTAATTTCTCCTCTTTTTTACTCACTTTCGCTTTGACGCTGAGAATATGTTTTCCTTCTAAAATTTGAAGGATTATTTATTTGAAAATTTAATAATTTATAAATTAAAATAACAATTATCGTTAATTTTACTTGAATTCTGTTTTTTAATTCTCGATTTATTTTATATATTTAATGTAAATTGCAAAAAAATATTCTCATTGTCAGTGTCAAAGTCGCGGGAAGTGAAATTGGGTAAAAAAAGAGGAGAAATGAAAACAAAGGTCAACGCATTTGCCAGGGGAAAATGTTTATTCTCGCTCACTTTTACCACTATAACTTTGTTTGAACTGAGCATTATGAAAAAACCCGAAACATGTGTCTAATTATTAATGCAAATCCACATAATTACGTAGTTTCATCAAAATCGAAGCGAGACCACTGGCGTCATCGCATTGTAAGAAGTTGTCGCCTTTCTCCGTTGTTACAAGTTCAATTGGGATCTCAATATCTTTGCGGTGGTCAAAATTTTGAACTGATGCATGTGAACAGGTTCTAGTTCTCCTGATCGTTCTCTTCATCAAATCTGAATTTGGGAATTTGGCGAGGCTAGCAGGGCAGAGTGTAGCAATATTAGATGATATAACCAAAGCTGGTGGGTCACGAGTAGATTTAGCTGCTAATTTTATGTTGGACATCGTTTCTTTCACGTCACAAAAAGATGGATTGGGTCCATGGTTATGCGCTCCGATTTCTTTTGCTTCTTGCATAGCGTCATCGGTGTGTAATCTGCCAATACATCCATGACCTCTTTGACAACAACGCCACAGTTTTTTTTCAGATCCATCAATATGAAATTGGTAAACATATCCATTATTTGACACCATATTTTTACCCTTTTCTGATTTGAAAATGTGGAGTTGACCTGAAGGGTAGAAAAAAATTGCATAAATAAAATTACATACGTACATTTATATATATATATATATATATTTTTTCTTACCATTTTGGTCGGCCATTTTTGCAAGATATCAAATAAATAAGTTAGCACAAGTAAAATTTTATTAGTGATTTCGTAGCTAACCAGAAGTGTATTGCATGCGGTTCAAGAGCAAAGTGAGCTGTTCTCAAAGAAAAGGTACAGTTAAGTAAATAGCTGGAGCAGGATTTATACTTAATCTTGGTTTCTTGGAAGACAATCCTCTGGTAAAAAGGTACATACATAATGAACATAAACATGTACCAAATCTTAAGTTGGCCATACCAAATAATATCATACCAAATCATTCCATACCAAAGTGACCATATCAAAATGACCATACCAAAATGACCATACCAAAATGACCATACCAAATTTTCCATGTACCAAATTGTTCATATACCAAATAATCCCGTACCAAACTAGCCGTACCAAATTGACCATACCAAATTGACCGGACACCCGACCTTAATGGACACCATTGACTGATCAAATCATGGAACATTGTTTCAGGGAAGACTTGCTTTTCTATTGTAAACGGGACTGATGCTGTCCTCAATTTAACCATTGACTAGTATTTTCATCAGTTTACAATTAAGGGTTGGCATAAAAATTACTTTGACAATATTTTCTCAACTTCTCAATGGAGACCAAACATAGAAACATGTCGGCTTTCTGGTTTATCCTGGCATGTCCTAATTGCATTTATACTAAGAAGTCATAAGTTTAATTTATACAATATTTTTTTATAGATTTTATCCACTGTTAAATCTAATTCAAATTTCGTGACAATAGAAGAGCGCATTAAGGATATCTTGACCGCGGCCAACTGCGGGTCCGACCTGACCACTATGACCGTTGAGAACGAGGTCATGCCCGCATTGGAGATCTGTAGGGAAAACATAACCGACAAAATGGTAGAATTATATTTATTGGTGACATAAAATTCTTCTGCACTGAAATCACCCTCATTTTAGTGTTTCTTCCCCTGTCTTGCCAATCAAATGGGATTTTTCAACAACGGGAAAGTCGTGCCTGGTGCCGTCGCCAAATGCGTCGAGCGGCAATTTGAGGAAAACAATTTGCGGAAAGCCGACACCACAAAAGAATGGAATGACGGGATCGAAAAATGTGTCACAGTGTGAGTACTAATATTAAATAATTGCGAAATATTTCAAACTAAACGTTTCGAAAAATCTAGTCGAATTGTCCGGTCAACTCTTTCCCACCGAATATGACGACTGCTACCAAGGAATGGACACACTTGGAGATTTTGAATGCTCGGGTATGGGTCACATGGTTACAGTAAATTAAGATTAAGTAGGTAATGGCATTTTTGTATTTTAATCATTTGACAGGATTGTTCAAATCATAGAACAATTTCAGGAATATCACATAGAATCAAGCGTGCCCCACATATTACAAATGGCGGTTTCGCGGGCTTGGCTGTGGCCGCATTTGCGGTAGGATCGTTAGTCGCTCTACCAATAATTTCTACAGTAAATGCGTTCAAATGTGGCGAGGAGTTTGGCTGCCATAAAGGATACTGTTGGTCGTATTGCGGCGTTTCGTTGAGAGAGTATGAGTGGTGTTTTACAACTAAATCGTACTCACAGAGCTAAAACTATATTCCGTGCAAGTCAAATTCCGAGTGTATTGGATGTTGGAAGTGCGCTGGGCCTTGTGCAATTTTTTAGAGTACTATTTTGAATCGATTGTATTAGAAAGAATAAGTGTGGTTTAAGAAAATAAAGGAAATATTTTAATAATTAAATACTACGAAATCGTTTACTTTTCCTGTATCTCAAAAAACTTGAGAATGGAGTTTTTAAAGAGACATTTCAAACATTTTTTACAAACATCCGATTTTTTTCAGAGGAAACTAAAGGAAAATATGGACTAACTGGACGCTTTAGGGATAACAACAATGGTTATCCCTTGATTTTACAACATTTTCATTTGAAGTAATAAGATCCTTAAAAACTACTTACAATTTTTAATGGAGGCTGAGTGAGAGGTATAAAGTTTAATTCTAAATTTTTGAGTATTGCGAAAATGATGGGTATACATTATAACCCACCAATTACATAGTTGAGTAACTTGAAAAATATTTACATCTCAAAAATAAATAGGCATAGCGTACATCGATCAAGGTAGAAAAATATCGACCAATAAAACCTACGGGAAATTAGAAAGGTTTTTTTCGTCATGAAAACAGAGCTTGTCCGACATATGGTGGCTGAATTCCAACTACCTGATCCCTGAAATAGACACAAAAGGTCCATTAACCACATCGTGTCCAGGAATGCTAAAAAAAGGTTCATTTCACCAACTCTACATATTATTGTACGGGACAGTCGCATTCCACACTCACACTGAATATTAACACGTTGAAACTGCTGCCACAAAATAAAATCTACACTTTTCTACTCACATTTTTTACTCAGAAATATTTCGCACAAATTTCCTAAAATGACTGATCGCCAAGTGAACACTGATTTCAACCGCGTCGCGTCTTTACTCGGCTGCAGCGTCTGTCTCGACATGTGCGCCTCAGGACGAGTTCTCCAGTGCAAGAACGGCCACAATATTTGTGGCGTCCACATCGCCCAGCTTGCGTCATGTCCCGTGTGCCGGGATCGCTACGTGGGCGGCCCGTCCCGTAACTTGGTGGCTGAAGCGATGGTCGCGATCCACCGCGGCGTCGGAGTTGAAGATGCCGGAGGACATGGTGCAGAGTTGCCAAATCGGTAATTCTTAATTATTTTATAAATGAAACTAATATATCCATGAGCAAAAGTTGTAGCTGCTACACCAAATTAATAATAACTTAGTACGGTGTAAATAGTTTGTTACCAATTGGTAATGTGTGTTTGTTAGAAATACAAATTTATGAGAAACGCAGTAACGTTTCTCTTAAGATTTTTAAGAGTGTAATAATTAACCTGCAGGAATCCAGACGAAGGCAGGATTTGGGGGGCCGCTGACCATTTTGCAGGGGCGGATCTAGACGATGACGAGAGTCCGATGCAGTCAAACGAGGAGGATGACTTCCACCAGGAGGAAGATGGCGCTCAGAAAAATAATTTCCCCATTGGCGAGATGAACCTCCAGGATGAGATCCAGAATGTGGTCCTCGATGTCTTGGCAGGTGTCAACTTTGACATTTCTGTCATCATGGGAAACGTAAATGATGAAATTCAGAATGCGTTGCGGGGTATTTTGTAAATTTATAGGGTCAAAATAAGCAATTTTAATTTTAGAGAAATGTCACAAATATTGTTTTTCGTTTCTACTTCAAATATTCGGACAATGATGTGACTACAATTTAAGTAATTTGGAGAAATTTGGATTAATAAAAGTGGATAGAAAAGCAAGAACTTCTTATATTTGAAACGTGCAGAACTATACATATTTCAGGAAACACAAGAGTCAATCTTTTAACAAAATATAAAAAGCTACTTATATTTCATGTCACAAAATCACTTGAGATTAGTTTTATTCAATTACTCAAAATATATAATTAATTAGCTACAAAGCCAAGCTAAGTTTGATAATAATTTTCTTTAAAACATTTAACGGACATGCACAACATAAGAAGCTACTCCCGAGATATAAAATCTCGGGAGTAGATTGTTTGTTTGTTTGTTGTAGTTTGTGTCAATTTTCAAAACTGAAACAAATTCGAAAAAAATGAAAATTCCATATTTTTACGTGGAGTTGATATAAAAAATATTCAAAAATTCACAGAAAAAATCTAACTTCTCACTATGGAGTTCTCCACTTTTCATAATGAAGTTTTTCATTTTTTCAATTTTCCACCTTCATGTTACTTGCGAATGAAAAATTTCTCTACATCATATGATGTATTGGGTCTCTAAGGGTCTAGATTGAAAATACGCGATATCTTGAATTTGGTCAAAAAGAGGTTAAGAGAACAAGTATTTATGATAACGTTCTCCTCGTCTTGTTGTCTAGGTCTGCCTGGACAACGTAGATCGAATGGGGCTAATGTGGGATAAAGTTTTAATTTAATTTGTACCCAACTCAAATTAATTTTAATGTGGTAAATAAAGGGACACTCAACAGTTGACAGGTACAATGCGAGATCTGGTTGGGATGGATAATATCATGCTAGAGACCTGGCCCAGCATTTGGAGAAGAGTATTAGTCGACTCGTGTTAATATATACGGATATAATTTATTATGGCAACATATTGTCGAAATTAAGTAGGGATGAGTCCACTAAATAAATATCATTAAGTCACATTAAATACGCACATTACGTACGAAAATGCATGCTATTTTACTTCAAGCTCGATATTTTAAAATTGCCCGTAATTCCTGAATACAACATTGTTATTAATTTTAGAATATCACACTGCTTCTGCTGAGCCAGGTTTGAATTTGAAGTTTTGAAATGACGCCGAAATTATAAAAGTTATGGCTGTTCTAGAAACACGGTTGTTTTGCAAAAAAATGGCAATGCTTCGAAATGGCTCATTGAACGTTTTTTTAGGCCGAGATGTTCTATCGAATGGGACAATTTCAATTTCCCATATTTTGTCAATTTCAGCGATTTTTAGCAAAAAAACGGTGGCACACCCCACCCCTGATTTTTTTATATGTGATGTACCCATGTTATAGGTATGCAATAAGATCAACAACTGGACCGAAATCGACGAGTAAAGAGTGATAAAAAAATTTAAAACCTAAAAATTTTTGACATTTTTTCATGAAAATTTAGACACTCGGTTATGCAGATTCCTTGTATTAGATTTCTACGGGTTGGTATAATGTTTGTTAGTTACCTATGGTAAGTATCTTCATTTTTTGAATTTATTGAATATTGAAAATGTTTAGTTTTAAAGATATGGCCGAATGAATGTCCCAAAAAATGGTTACCCCGAAATTTCGGTTTTTGGCCCAGAAAAGTGGTCGGGCGTAATTTTTTTCGACTTTATGTTATTGATTTATACCTACCCCATTATACCCCTTAGAAATAAAGAATAAAAGCCTGTGGCCCAAAACAAGCCCTTAATTAGCCTAGTCCTTCAAATCCGAGTATTACACGTGGATTGAGGATATGAAATTAACAGTGTCATCCCAGGAGTGATAATTTGGTTATCTGCCATGCTGGGGATTTCATGCCGATATTTTTTGCACACGCCGTCATATTATTACGGTGTGTTTCAAAAGTTTCTCCCTCCGCCTCTCGCGCGCGATTTTTGGGTATAAATTGGGCTATAATTTTTTTACCTGTTATTTTTTCGAATTTATTTTTTTGGCAAAATGAGCCCAAATGTCAAGCCTGCTCGTGAGGAAAAAAGAATTAGAATACAAGTCTTATCAAGTGAAGGATGTGGTGTTAAAGAAATTTGTGAAAAACTGAAAGTGTCCCCAAAAACGGTGAGGTTGTGGAGAGAGAAAAATTATTTTAAGGACAATAAAAGGCCACGAAGACCGACAGTACTCTCCCCTACAACAAAACGTCAAATAAAGTCAAAAATGTACCGTAAACTTGGTAGTTCCACCAGAAAAACCGCAAGAGTCTTAAACTTCACAAAACGGCTTCACAAGACTTGAACCCAATCGAAAACCTATGGTCCATACTAAAGGAGTCAGCATACCAGGAGCCTTTTCCAAAAACAAGACTAGAATTGCAAGCCCGTTTCGAAGAAAAGTGGAATTCGCTTCCAGTTTCCCTTCTACAAAACCTGGCACAAAGTTTTAAGACAAGGGTCGAGGAAATGATGAACTATGCCGGTGGACACACATCATATTAGGGTACTTTGAAAAAAATAGAACAGGTCGAATATTTCAGCCTAAATTTTCCTGTAACCTAATGAAAATTTTGGTGATTTAAGGGGGAGAAACTTTTGAAACACACTCTACACTGTCGTAATATGATGGACGAGTTGCATTGAATTAATCAAAGTGAGGAATAGTTGAAGTAGTTATTTAATTAATTGTGTTCAAACAAGTTTTATCTGTAGATATGAATCACGCCATGAAAAGGTGTAATGTTCTGTAATGGAATTTTACATTTCATCCATACTTGAAACAGACGCTGGGCAATGACTAAATAAGACTACAAGTGTTCTCTTAAGAAAGAAAACAGTTTTTTTCTAGATTGCTTTTTACTTGCTTTAAAAATGTTTTTTGCTTTAATGAAATACCTGCTTTTTTGTTTTATTGCTATTTTACTACTTATACATAGAATTGTAGTTTTACGAATCGCCGCTAGGTGGTGCCAAGTAAAAAGCAATTAGAAGCTGTCAAATCCATCTACCACGGTACGGCAGTGCCGGATCGTCTACCGTTAAATAGTATGTAGTTAAAAGAAATGTGAAATATTAGTATAAGCCTTATGTAGTCAATAAGAACTGTAGTCAATAAGAATTTTGGTCAATAAGTCTCTAAAAGACGGGTTGTTTGTTTGGTTGACTCCAGTGGGTGAAGCGTCGCGATCTCACAGAAGCAGTAAAAATAAAAAGCAAATAAGCAAAAAAGCAAGTAAAAAGCAAAACAGCAAAAAACATTACTGCCCTACTGTTTTTTTGCTTTTTATCTACCACTAAAGACTACATCGCAATACCATCGATGAAGTTCTCCACATTTCAAAGTTGCAAAATTATTGATTGTTTTGCACACGTCCTTTCCACTTGTCATACAGATAACTGTCACAATTTAATTGATTACTGATTGACGTGACGTGCCACAAAGTTGATAAAATACCAACTAACGAGCATTTATAAATAAGTACGGGTGCAAAAGCATACCATTTACCAACTTGAAAATCACGAGAATCATTGTGGTAAAAATGAAGTTTATCGAGGCCATCGTATTTTTTGTGGGCGTTGTAATCTGCCACGCCCACCACCCGCATGACAGTCAAGCGATTCGGTGGAGTGATCTAAAAGAGTGCATCGTAGCTTCAGGATCAGATCCTTCCGACATAGTCGAATACCTGTATGATGACTATCAAAAATATACCGAGCTAAATTATCAGTGGAATCTTATCCATGAGAGAAAGTACCCTCGTGGATATTTTACTGTCAGAAGTGCCGCCGATGTCCAGTCTGCCGTTCGCTGCGCTACAGAACGAGTTAGTACTAGCCTATTTCAAAGATAGTACTTACAAGGTATGACCCTGAGGTGCCTATCGAGTCGAGGGTTCCCACCTATGTCAAAATGAGCACAATATAAGACTTATGCAGTCAACTAGCGGAATTGTCGTGTAAAAATCATTTTTCGTCAATTGGTGACGATATTTGTGGCGAGCGCATGATGATAGTTGTCAGTATGAAGCAAGGGTGAGATAGGAAATTTGTGAAAACGAGCGCTGAGGTGAACTAAAAAATGGTGCAATTAGTACTCAGTTTTCATGCGTTCTCCGAGTTGTAGTTCTCCGAAATTTGAAATTGCACCGATTTATCTAGGGTCAACTTTGACCTTTAAAAAATTGGTTTTAATTTGATACCCATTTGGGCTAATTTGGTTTATTTCATGCAAATATGTTCCCTTGTCAATAACTAAAATTTAAGGAATCATTTAAAAGCATGACGAAAATGGGGCCTAGAAAAGTGCTTAAATTAACAAAATCAATTTCTTCCTCAGAATACCTCCAATAAGTTAAAGACTAAAAATGTGAAACAAAAAAGTAAACCTGTACCAACCAACAAAAAATATTGGTATCTCAAAAACAGTTTTTATTTTTAATTAACCGTGTATTTTGCCATATAGAAAGGTTTGCTCCGGCTGCAGTACAAATCTTTCAGAAGGACTAAAAAACAAATTCTACGTCATTTTATATAGCAAATTTGGTACAATAAAATTAAAATGTTCCAGGACTTAAATACCCCCACGATGGACCTTTTATTTCGGTCGACCATAGTGAAAATTATTGGCAAAAGTTAATATAATTAAACTTCTGGTGGACGGGCGATATTTGTGGCGATCGTGTGACGATAGTTGTGGGTGGAGAAGACTGGAGTTAAGCGAGCAAGAATGGGGTCAACGAGCTCTCCTCCCTCTCCGCCGCTCGAGACTAACCGCAACTATCATCACACGCTCGCCACAAATATCGTCACCAATTGACGAAAAGTGATTTTAACCCGAAAATTACGCTAGTTCACTGGACAAGTCCTATATTGTGCTCATTTTGACATACGTGGGAACCTCAACCCGATAAGTACCTCAGGATCATTCATTGTTAATTTGAGAAATTTTAAGGTTTTTAATCCACATTGTTATGTCAAGGGGGTCAGGATTATTGTCAGGATTCAGGGGTGGCCACTCTTACGAAGAATATTCATTTGGGGACAACACTACCTTTATTGTCGATCTCCGACACATGTTTGAAATGTATGTCAGTCCAGATCGTTCTTGGTTCAGTATCGGTGCCGGAGCCCTTCTTGGACAAATAGCTTATCCACTGCTGGAACAGTACAACTTACTAACACCTCACGGCACGTGCCCAACCGTCGGTATTACTGGTTTAGCAACAGGAGGAGGTTACGAGAACATGTCCAAACTACACGGTCTTACTGTCGATAACATTCTCGAAGTCGAAATAGTTAGTCCGAATGGGTCCCAGTTAATCGTCAACGAACAGACCTACCCAGACTTGTTTTGGGCCCTTCGTGGCGCAGGTTCAGATTCATTCGGGATCATCACGAAACTTACCTTCAAGGCATACCAGGCACCAGTGTTGGTCACCGCGGGCGAAATTATCTACCCATGAAGCCAGTTTGTAGAGGCGTTTATCCAGTGGCAACTGCTCGTCAGGGACTATTTATCATCGAGAGACACAAATACAAAGTTAGCCATTAAGGACGGTACCGTGGTCGTGGAAGCGTTTGACATTCAGGTTGGGACATGTACCATCGATGTTGGGGTATTCTAAGCTAAAATCTATGTAAAAAATATTGAAATATTGAAAAATAAGTTCGATATACTTCGATATTTCGAGATCTCGAAAATTCGAGATCCCATTTAAACCCCATGTTAAAATATCGAAATATCGAAGTAACGAACTAAATTCGATTTTACATGCCCTAATTAAGGAATCAGATGACAATGCGGCAGAAGCAATACAACGAGTTAATCACATCCTTAACAAATTTCCTACCACGTCGTTAAACACCACATCTGTCATTGCCGATAGATACGTTGACTTTATATTTCGCGCGTCACATCCGAACGATGTTGGCATTGAGGATCCGAGCCAGCTCCCGAATGTGACAAGGGAGATGTTTACTTGGCGTAATTTCCACGCAAAGTAGTTCTTTGTTAGGTAAGCAGGTTAAAATATCGTCGCACTAATTCTAAATAGAGCTAAGTGCACTCGAAGTATAATTCTAAATAGAGCTAAGTGCACTAGATGTTTGACTTTAAGAAGAGGTAAGTACACTTGCAAAACTAAAAAAGAGCTAAATGCAGTCATAAAAGTGACAATAGAGCTAATTGCAATTTCAAATTTGACACAAGAGTCAAATGCAAACAAAATTAGATATGCTGGGGTATTGTGCAATATTGCGACCGCGATGCCTCAATGGAAATTTTGTAACTGCATTTAACTCTTTTTAAAATTAAACCTCATGTGCTCTTAGCTCTATTTAGAATTAGTACGACGATATAGGAAATTATACTGGTCAACTAATCTGTTTCATAATTTAGTAACCTAATCGAGATTGCGGATGCTTTAAGACTGTACAACCTCCTTGTCGAGACGCTAGACGAGTTCCAAGACATCATCATAGAAATGTATGCGTTCGGCGGTGCGATCAATGACATGACCCCTCTCGACACGTCGTTCAACCATCGGAACGGAATCTTGTACTTGGTCCAAGCCTTCCACAATGGAAAGGCCACGCTGAACCCGTACCATCCCTCGTTAGACTGGCTGACGAGATTTTATGAATGGACCAAACTTGTCTTTCACCATACGGAATCCTATCAGAATTATGCGGATGGAACGATGCCCGACTACTTGGAGCGGTACTACGGTTCAAACCTGGATGGATTAAAAGAGATAAAGAGAAAATATGACCCCCAAAATATTTTTTGGCATCCGCAGTCAATCCCGGTATAATTTGTATTTTCACAAACACAATTTCACGACCAATAAATAAATAATTATGCAGTTATATATTGTGGGTATTCATTAAGGCTTGGCATGTTCGCATGGCAACATATTTTTGATAAATATTTTCTTAACCAAATACTACGCGCGGAGATGCGCCAATCATTTTTCAAGCCAATTTGCGGAAAATTTGTTGCTAACTTTCCAACTTTGATTTTTTGTGAACGACGCGAAGTCGTGATGAATAGCTCATTGTTCCATGCCTTCTACATATTTGTTGAGCATATTACATCTTACAAATTGAGTATACAAATCGTTGTAATAATACCAATTTATTGAACTTAGCCAATTCTAAATGAGTATGTACATAATTCATGTTTGTGTACGTATGTCAACTCTGGCTTGAGAATATCCGGAACTTATGACTAGGGAGTTTATTTTTAAAATGTTTAAAAAATTGTCAAGAATTGGACTAAATTTATAATTGTGATGAAATTGGAGCTTTCTTCATTACTCGCTATATGAAAATGTGTTTCTGAATTTATCCCAAACCAGGCATCAAATTAAGCATCTCGCCTGATAAATAATGTCCGGCGTTGAGATATTCTCTTGGAGGTTGGAGGTCGGGAAGGTCAACAATAGTATACATCAAATTAATAAATTAAATATTTTAATTTCACTTACTTTAGTACCATATTCTCTCTTTTCTTACAAACTTGGGTGACGTATTAACAATAATTCGACAACCGTCAGTGCATGATGACGACATACTAGTCAGAATGTTAAATGAATTGTAAAATTAGCTTGACTAGATAGGGCACCACATGTCTGCATGCCACATATGGTGCAAATTTGAGTAATGTTTCGTCATTATTTCCAAGATATAGAGTGCATGGCCTTTCGCCTCTACATAATTAGATTTATGTTATTAATTAGGCCAATTAAATTGACATTTATAGATTTCAAGCCAAAAAAAGTACTTTCATTAGCAATTAGAAGTAGTTAGAAGTGGTTTGTTAAGCAAAAAATTTACTAATTACAAAGAGAGAACTAAATATTTCTCGATAATTGTAAAACGTCTGTATTGAAATTCCGCGAAATCCATTATATTGGCATTATGTAAAATATTTTTGCATAAATTCAAGTGACGATAATTGCGGTTAGAGATTATTATGTATTTGCGGTATTTGGTAGTTTTCAATAAATAGGACAATTCGTCCAGATAATTTTATGCGGATTAAAATTATTTCCAAACCATGGTCACTAATTGTATTCTAACTGCGATATTAATTTTGGCAGGGAGCAATCTCTCCCTATGTCAACGTAAGGGTCAAATTATCACACAATTTTTTCCTAAGCAACACTTCCCACTAAAAATTTTAATCTTGCAGAAGTAACGCTTTGGGACGACGTCAACTATGGCGGTATGATTTTTGTTAAGGGCTTGTCCATTAATTACGTCGACACGTTTTATGACCCACCCAGCGTCTACATCACGTGATAGGGAAGATTAGCATGGGAGAGATAGACAACCTCTGACCGACCCACCCAACTGTTGACGTAGTTAATGAACGTTCCCTAATCGTGGCCAGAAAATCCGTCTCCTTCAATAAAATCGTTTTCTCTCCATAATTAGGCCGATCTGTACAGTTTACCCTGAAAGAAGGCGAATGTCGTAACGTTCTCGACATCGATTTTAACGATCGGACAAGTTCTCTAAAGACGAATGGATGCGTCCAAATCTGAGAGGATTACGATTGCAGTGGTAAATCTGTCAAGGTTTCTCCCCCAGGAAGAAGCGAAGTGGCAGATTTTAACGATAAGTTGACCTCCGTAAGCGACTGCAGCTGTCGATTTAGCGGTCAATTGTCAGGTAAGCAGGAAATAGTTCGATGTAGGCAATATGCGTAGCAACGTTGTTAGAATTTCCTTATCTCTCGAGAGTGGTCAAAATTTCCGGAAAAATTTTGGGTAGGGGTGACCTTCACCTTTTCGATATTAATTTTAAAATTTTCTACCACTCTCAAGGAGCGTTACGGTGGTTGTAAAGACGTAGCTGCGTAAACTAGGGAATGTAATATCGAAATATCGATTTTGGGGTATTTCAACCTAAACTCTATGTTAAAATATCGAAAAATCCAAGTTCGATATATCTCGATATTTGGAAATCTCGAAAATTCAATATCCCATTTATACATATCGAAATATCGAAATATCGAACTAAATTCGATATTAGATACGTGCCCCAGCGGAAACTGCTTATTGATTCGTTTATTTACAGAAACGGTCGAAATTGAGATGGACACTTCGCAAGCCCCTGATTTGAGAAATTATGGGGAAGAAATCAAGCAAATCATGACGGATTGGTTTCCATTCGTTCAAAATTTAATGGCAACCTCTGCCTACAAACCGGTGAGAAAGATTCGAGTCTTTTTCAGTTCCAAGGATGAAGGTGTCGCTTGGGCAGGTGGGAACGAAATTGGGGCCAATGCAGCCTGGCTGCGAAGAACGGGGTTGAAAGACAAGGGCTGGATTGTGCACGAAATGACGCACATCCTCCACCAGGCGAGGGGCTGTCCGGGATGGATTGTCGAAGGGATGGCGGAATGGACGAGGAGGTGGCATTTTGAACCTTGGACTCACACAACGAAACCGACATGGGAAGAGAAAGGTGACTTTCTTTGGCCATTACATTACATTAACCTTATCGTTACCAAGTAAAATGACATGAAAAACTGTTAGTGACCGATTTATTTAGAATTGTAAATCTCAAAATTGACGAATAGTCCAAAAACGAGAAAATACCACTTTTGTGCGTGGCCTTGATATAGAAAAAGTTCAAAATTTAGGTTGAAAAAGTCCACTTTTTGTCATGAATTTTTCCACATTTGGCAATGGGGTTGATCCATTTCTCAATTTTTGCCATCTATTTTGGTTGTCAGTGGAAAATATTAAATTACACAAACGTGTGTAATTGGTACCCAAGAGGTTAAGAATTGTAATTATTTATGTATTCATTACAATTGCTTTCACAGGGGCGAACTCACAGCCGGAAGGAAACGGCTGGCTGGTCGTGTATCTCAACTCTGTTACTGGGAAGCCATTAATTTACGAGATGAACAAGGCCTGTCAAACTGGGACGTGGCATGACAATTGGTTGAAGGAGAGGACCGGCAAGTCAGACAAGGAATGGTGGGATGTCATGTTGAAGGATAAATATTACCCGTGGCAGAGGAGGGCATAGAATTTTTGTGAATTTTTGTGAATTTAACCCATGGAATAAACACGTATCGAAATAAATCACCTTAACACAATCATATACTTGTAACCTGCTAGATGGTTCTGTGGCACATCATCTTCGTAAATAATTATCTCTGAGCGTTTCGTATCGGTTCAACCTGGGATTAGTTAATAAACAACTTGACCAGCCTAATTTTTCATAGTCGATTTCATGTACAGAGTTTATTACGTTACCCACAGTGATCACTGATTTCCACTATCTTGTACAATTTTTTCAATAGTATTTTTTCAACAGCACACCTTTTCAGCAGGAACATTGCACCATTACTTCTCCTTGCACCCTACTACTTGAAACATACTTTCAGGACAAAGAAAAACCTCGCTTTTTAATAGTACAATAATAATTCATAAATACACTTTGTTCTCTCACTTATCACTTTAATGCGATCCCATGACAACCAAGCAGGCCCTAAACTGAGGGTGGGCAAGCAGGGCAATTGCCCGGGGCGCCGAGAATCAGGGGCGCCGCTAGGCGCCCCGATTTACACTAGATATAATGAGGTAATATGTCCCCCAAAAAATATTTAAATGCAACTAATAAAAAAAAATATTCACAGGATGAAACATTAAAAAAAGAGAAAGTTAGTTTACCCTTGTCACGCATCAGATTAGAATATAAAATATAATTTGATCAATGTAAATTAATTAGATTAATTTAATTTAATCTTAAAAACATGTTAAAAACTTATATATAACTTTTATATCTACCTTCTAATATTATTTTAAATTTCTTGATTAATTCCAATATCGTTTACAAAAAAAGCATCTTTTTCAGAAAATCATAAGCGAGTTAACGAAAGAGAGAAAGAATTTGAAACCAACCTAAAATTGTAGCCAAAAATTTCTAAATTTTTTGGCGAAGCACAACCGTCGACGTCTTTAATAAATTCATCAGAAATCTTAATGTCAGCCTCTTCGATTGGTAGCTCGCTTAATTCTCCTAATGTTTTGCAAAATGTGCATAATCTTGACCAATCAAATAGAGGTAATAAAAAATTCCCCCTCATGGAAATACTGGAATCGGAGACAGAGACACCGTACTGTTTTCCTTGCAAGTTATACGACTTGTCAGCTAAATCATCAGTATTTAAAAATGTTTCTATACAAAGATTGGAGACATTTATCAGATATCCCGACGAAACATGAATTTTCAAACCAGCACAAAAAATCCTCGTGGGTGGGAGCCCTCCGACTTTTAAAATTGGACTCTACGATTGATGTTCGAATACACTCACGACCACAAAAAGAGAAAATTAAATTGAGAAACATTTTGAATAGGATTTTGGAAGTCATTCGTTTGTTAGCCTCTCATAATCTCGCATTTCTTGAATCTTCTTGTCAGTTGTTCAAGCAGGATAATGAAAATTTTCTTGGAATTGTTCAATTGCTCGCAATATTAATTTAACTGCTGGAAGCTCACTTAAACCAGACTATCTCAGTCCAATAATACAAAGCCAATTTATTTCGATACTAGTCTTTAAGAGCCAAATTGGCTCTAGGTGGGTGTGGTGGGGGTGTGGTTTGTGGATGTTGCACATTTACTTGAAGGGGACATATAAACCCGTCATTATAAGCCATAGCACAGCATAGCTCGCAATAAATTGGTCCATGGTCCATGGTCCATGGTTCATCACTACATGGTCCATGGTCCATAGTCCATCGATGGTCCATCAAAAAAATGGTCCATGGTCCATGGTCCGTCGATGGTCCATCAAAAAAATGGTCCATGGTCCATGGTCCATCAATAGTCCATCAGAAAAATGGTCCATGGTCCATGGTCCATCGATGGTCCATCAAGTAAGTGGTCCATGGTCCATCTCAAAATGTAAGTACAAATGAGTAAGTTTGAGTTATAGCAGGATATTTCAATATTACGTAGTTGCTTGTTAGTTATGACATAAATTTATTGTCATTGCAATCAATGTACACTAAAAGTACTATATGTAACATGAATTTTTGTACCAACTCTTATTAATTTAAGTCATCCGAAATAAATATAATCGTAAAGGCTAATCTTAAAGGCTGAGAGAATATTGGACGCGTTGTCAGCCGTGATGCTGGAAATCTGAACAATAAATAAATAATTTGATTTACCAAATCCGGATTTGGATAGTCACATAATAACTAACCTGTTGCTGTTTCAACCCAAGCTCCGAAAATAAATACTCGTCAACTCTATTTTTGATGTTTTCTGCAGTGTGCGACTCAGAAAATTCTTTGAATCCCAATGTTAATTGACAAATTCACCAATCCTTTTAATATTGAGCGGTGAATCCAATAACTAAAACTTTCTGGGAAGATGTCCAAATGTCAAGCATAATATTTAACGACTTCGCGGGCATTCTACGAAGTTCATCCTTGATGTTGGTCTTGACCTGAAGTAACATAAAATTATAAATAAATGTTTCCTAGCCCGGGCTAGGAAAATAACAATTCGAGTAAACCCACCATTTCGTGTTTTTTTCTAAGTCATTTCGCATTGTGCTGGAACATGGAACGGTCAGCTTGGGGTCGGCTGCTGCGATCATTTTCCGGAATCCTTTTCCTTCAACGACTGAAAATGGAGCTGTATCACTGACTATAAACTCCAAAGTACTTTGCTTGAAATTAACTTGTTTCAAGTGATTACGGGGATACTTTTCAAGCTCATGTTGCAATTTGGGTTTCGATAATATCCTATCGCGAACGGACGATTTTTTTGCAGATTCCTCTTGCTGTTCCTGGTCTTTCGCTTCGTTGAGATCCTTCTGGTAATTTTCAAGTGCTTGTTTATGCTTCTGAAAAACAGAAAGTATTGAGAGATATAAATTTTATTCAATTTTTCCTGTCCGGACACGAAAACAGATTTATCTTCGAAGCTTGTATCTATTTATAAAAACTTTCGCGTTTTGTTATAGAGTTAATTTTAGTACCTTCAAGTGGTCCGCAAATGCCTTTGCACCTTGTCACTGCACATAGAACTGCAAGATCTACATCGCATTTTATACCACATGCGGCCACGTTTCCCAGATTCCCTTAAATTCTTCTCGATGTACTCGAAATATGGGAAGAGCAAGGACACCCATTTTGGATGTCGAATTTCAGGAGGACTTATAGGGGAGGAACCCGCTGCAAACCGCGGCTTATGCTGAATTAACTCTTTTGCAGCCATTCTCAACAAGCAGGCGAAGTTTCAAACTGACAATGCAGGTGTTTTTCATGTAAAACTCCGATCTTGATGGGGCCAATTTTAAATTGTTCACCATCAAAAATGACCGGACCCGTATTTTTGATTTTTTCCCAATACTCGAATTTAAGCGCGTGGCGGGATTTTTAAATATTTTTCCAGCCAAAATGTCGGATTTCTAAATCGTTGTAACTTTTTGAATTTTGGCGCGAATTCAAAAAACTAAGAACATGTATCCTTAGAATTACTTCCTTAACAATATAAAAATCCAATTTTAAAAAATTTTGAAAATTCCCGTTTTTACCCGATTTTTGAATTTTAAAATATACAAAATCCCGGCAAAGTTCGAATTTTCGAAATTTTTTAAAATTGGATTTTTATATTGTTAAGGAAGTAATTCTAAGGATACATGTTCTTAGTTTTTTGAATTCGCGCCAAAATTCAAAAAGTTACAACGATTTAGAAATCCGAAATTTTGGCTGGGAAAATATTTGAAAATCCCGCCACGCGCTTAAATTCGAGTATTAGAAAAAAAGCAAAAATACGGGTCCACTCATTTTTGATGGTGAACAATTTAAAATTGGTCCCATCAAGATCGGAGTTTTACATGAAAAAAACCTGCATTGTGAGTTAATAATTAATGCGAATTAAGATCTATAGACAAACCAGTTGAGCTGGTGCAAATTGTAACGACCGACAAAAGCGTGGTTATTAAATGTTCCCAGCCTGGACTGGGAAAAGTGACACACATGGATGTAAGTGTTAACTTAAGCGTCTCAATTTATCACAATTCATGCACTGCATAGAAATACAAATAATAATAATTAATAATAATTTAATATTGACTGCATATTATTATGCACTTAAATAAACCGTATTAAACGCACATCCAGAAGTAGCTTCGGTGAATCCTCCTATCCGGGGAGGATTCAATCTATTTACCCATCAATTGCCATAAAAATTTCATTTTACCCCAATCATTGATTTTTATTTATCTCATTTCACCCCAGCCACTCCCACGACAAAGTGTGAGCAGTTGATTTCTTTCTATTTCATCTATAGATTCAATTTCGATGAGAATCTCATTTTACCCCAGCCATCGATTTTTTGTTTCATTTTACCCCAACCACACCCATGCCGGAGTGTGAGCACTTAATTTTAGTCTATATCACCTATAGATTACATTGCAGTAAAAATCTCATTTTGCCCCGACCACACCCACTGGTTGCAATAAATTAAATATGCAAATTAAAAGTATGAAACTTTGCTATCGATTAAGACTAGGACTCCGACGAATTCGCGAGCGCCTTAGGCGCGAGCGGGTTTGGGGCGCATCTAGGATCTTGCCCACCTTAAAAATATGCTTAGTTTAGGGCCTGCAAACAAGTTCCTGAAAGTAGCCACTTGAACTAAAGGGTTATCGCAATAGTATGAGACTGTTGGGTATAAATACCTGCAGAACAAAGCATACTTCATGGAATTTGAAACTTTTTGGTTCTAGCTTCGATGCCGAGCTTATTTACTTTAGTTTTAACTAAATAGCTTTGAGAAATATTAACTTTTCTGGCAGCTACCGCCGTTTACGTGGAGGGATGATTTTAAAAAAGTTTCGGATTTGAGTTTTCACTTTGGTGGTCCCCAGCTTCACAGGACGACCACAGGGCTTTTTGAATTCGACAAATTCGGATTCCTTGGACATTTTTATAGAGGATTGACGGAAAAATCCTTATACGTTTGACCTGGGATAAGTCACCTGTTAAATTGTCATGTACGTATGTATGTATTTAATGGGTGAGGGGCATATATATTGAGGATATATGCCCCTCAGCTGACGTAGCGCAAATGGCCAATTGCAGGCTACCCCTGTTACACGGAAATTGTCATGTATTTATGACGCATTTTGTAACGCACCCCTACTTATTTTTACGGTATGCGTGTCCCTGGATCACATTCCCTGTGGAAATGCCCCTTGTTCTGCTGAATATTTAGATGAAAATAATGTGCACTGGACAATTTGAGTTTTTAAATATTTGAAAAGAAACTATAATTATTATTTTAAAGCCGAAATTTACATCTTACAGAACTATGGTTGAATCAACTTACTTAAATATAACTTAATACTATTGTGGGAGAGCTATTTTTAATTAATTTTATATTTCTGAAATTGGATTATTGGGAGCTGCTGTGAACTTGATGTTCAGCTTTCAGATCCCAAACCTGCACTTCTTTCTTCTTCACCGCGTGCTATTCTCCTCGAGCCATCCGCCTCTCCCTTTTACCCCACTCGTCATACATAAATACATACAGAGCTCCGTTCGCTCCCCATATATTTAAGTATGAGAGCTCCGTTCGCTCTTGTAACCTGCCCAACATTACAACCCCTGCTCCCTCTTAACTTTTATCACCCCAACTAACATTTTATCACCTCTGCTAAAATTTTTAAATTTCTAAATTGATCCACTACCTATATTTACACATTTTCGACTACATATCTATATGGGGGAGATATTTTTCAACAATATAGCAGTATGTAGCCACAAATACTGCTATATGGTTGCAATTTATGATTACATCTAACGCACATAAGTAAATTGGATATGATGTACACTTTCTTCTTCCGGACAGTATTAAATTTGCAACTAACTCAGTTTTTTTGCCATATATCGAATAGTAGAAATGGAAAAGCCAGTTTGGCATAGAATGTATTATGTCCAAATTTGGAATACATGGTGAAAATTTCACACAAATTGCACGACATACGCAAAACACGCAGTAAATGTTATCCTGCATAACATTACGTTGCAAATACTTATTTTATTGACCGTATACAGCTGGGAATGATTCATATTGAATATTTTCTAAATCTACAATTCGTTCCGACACTCTCCACTTGTCAAACGGCGCTTAGCGATTTGCATGATTCCATGATAATTCACCAACGCTGCGGCTACGACCAAAACGTGGAACAATTGGTGGCTATGTCCCTGCAGGATAGAGGTGGTTGTAATACCATAAATTATTTGTAGTTTGTTACGTCTCACCCAAATATCGCACTTTCCCAGGAACCATCGTTCTGGTACTCGTCCAGCGTAAATAACTGCACCCAAAAGATATAGAAATGCCATCAAGACTAGCCAACCCATCGGATCGTGCGTAACTGAATGAACCAATCCGTTGGCTGAGGCGTAGTGAACTGCAGGGATAACACCGCTCAACCCAAAACCGGCGAATAACCCTGGAATAGAATTATAATAAAAATTGAGAATTATAAAGTCATGTTCCCGAGCTGCACATTGGTGGTACCTAAAGTTTGCTGAAATGCAACGGCAAAAGTCGCGAAACGGTGCCATTATCGTAACGAACGTACCATATTTGTGCCATTTCGGTGTTGAAAATATGAGTACCATTTAAATGCCGATGATATGAACTCATATCGAATTTACCTATAATGAAACAATACCTGCCTTTCGTCACCAAAATGGCAAAAAATGGTATCCGCCGAAATGGCACAAAAATGCTACCTTCCGTCGCCGAATAATGGCAACGTATCGGCGGATTTATCCGTTGCATTTAAGCATTTAAGCTACTTGTTGTGTTGGCCGGGTTGTAAAATATTTACCTGCCCGAATCGGTCGGAACCTTGGTTCAGCAAACGTATCCATCATTGATGCTATAATGGCTAACGTGCCAAGAAACAGTGTCACAGTCATGTAAATTATTTGAAGGTGTGGTTTGCAATAGAATCCATAGTACACCCAGGGGAAGAAGGATCCCATGATTAGCAAAGCAATTCCAACGTAATCCAGTCTAATTGATGGACAAATAAATAGGAATAATAGGGGGAACAAAATTGCTCCTGGCGAGGGTACTATTACACTCAACCGCTAGTAACAATTCGTCAACCCAAGGTAGTAAATTTTACCCACTTATTTTATCAACGGTTTCGTAGCAAGGCATGATTTAGCCTCTTTATAAATATATGCTACCCTGCGATTTCGAATTGTTACCACATTGTAACTAGCAATTTGCTACCAATAGGTAGCACGTCGCATAGTAAGTGCCTACACCGGGTAACAATTTTTGTTCAAAGTTATTCACAGTGTATTGAAACGAGTAAATTAACCTCGTTTTGACCGGAACTTCAAAGCCCTTGTTGCCAATAACCCTCGAATTTGAGTTTTGTCAATTTTTAAAAACTGATGCAAATTGGAAGAAATGAAAATTAAATATTTTTACATGCAATTGATGTAGAAAATATTCATAAATTCGGCTGAAAAAATCCGACTTTTCACTATGGAGTTTTCCACTTTTCATGATGAAGTTTGCATTTTTTACCAATTTTCTACCTTCATGTTACTTGCCAATGGAAAATTTCTCTACATCATATGATGCATTCGGTCTCTAAGGGACTTGGTTTTCAATATGAAATATCTCGACTTTGGTCAAAAAGAGGTTAATGCCAACTTACTTATGCACGAATTTTGCAACCTCTCGGGAATGACAGTGGAGCGTGTGGAAGACCGTGGAGAAGCCGAGGCATGCAATCGCTCCGACAAAGAAGGCAGTGAATACAAATTTTTCTTGCAATTGAATCTCTGGCCTCGTCAGGAATTGAATCGTTAACACGAAAAAGAGCAACATGCCAACGAGATGAGTCCAAATATTCATTGTCTGTGAGAAAAAGAGAAAATTGAAGGCAATTATTTATTCCTGACGTAACAACTTTACCTCCGTGTGAATACGAAATATACTTTTGAAGCATTCCTTAAAACTTAAAAGGACAGGGCGATGTCCATCTAGTAGGAAATGGTTGTCTTGCAGCCAACTCGGTAAAGCCTGGATGAGAAAGATTGTTGCATAATCTGCAATTTATATAGACGGTATTCATCACAGCTTCGCATGTTCGCATCGAAACATACTTTTGAAAAATATTTTGCAAACCAAATAGCCTTGGAGTTGCACAACTTCGCAAATCGATTTTCAAGCCAATTTCCGGAAAAAAATTGCCAACTTGTGAACTTTAATTTTTTACTAACGTTACTGACGACGCGAACTCGTGATGCATACCCTCATAGATTTGTTACCGTAAACTTGCAACACTTCCAATCCAACGGAATCTCCGGTTTGGCTGGTGTCAGTACTCCACCTTCATCCCTGCAAGGACATAATTTATTGTGCTTAATTTGACGCTATTAATTTATGCCCTTCTTTACATCGACATCGCTATACCTTCGATCAGTGCTGTTAGAGGACTGAAATATGAAGTGATTCTTATTTTATGACTTGAAACCAAAAAAATACAACTACGAAATTTAAGAAATCATACCCCTCTGGTTCGCCTCGACATGGTTATTTACTGGTGTCAATTTGAGAGTGATGAATCTTTCGAATAATTATTTTGATCTTGTTTTTTTATTTATGTGTTTGGAAACTGTAAGTAGAAATAATATATTTCATCATTATTGGTTAATAAAGTTTTTCTGCAGGTTCTTAAATTCAATTGTGAATTAATGCATATCACTTTGTATTTGTATATTGCACTAATTTCTATTATTAACCTCCATGGGTACCAAATTACACATATTTGTGTAACGATTTATATTCCGTTGCGTACCAATTAAACAGATATGTGCAATTTAAAATATACAATTGCGAACCAAAATAGATGGCAAAAATTGAAAAATGGATCAACTCCAGTGCCAAATGTGGAAAAATTCGTGGTAAAAAGTGGAATTTTTCAGCCTAGATTTTTAACTTTTTCTATATCAATTCCATGCACAAAAGTGTAATTTTCGAGTTTTTGTACTTTTTGTAAATTTTGAGTTTTGCAATTCTAAAATCAATCGGTCGCTAACACTTTTTCATGTCATTTTACTTGGTAACGATGAGGTTAAGAAAAGTATTAGACTAATAATATTTGCAAACAATTTCAAATATTGAAATTAATCACAAATAGTTTTCTCTTGTTTTTGAAGAATATGTTGAAGATTCTAATGTATTACCTGCCAAATTGCACAGTATTTATTTCAACTTTATTACAGAGGATGAGTACACGCACGAAAATTGAACGACCACCAGCTGCAAAGGATAAAACACAACAAACTCTTCCACCAGCCGGTTTCCCTACCGAATCGTAACTGCTCGCTGTTTCATTTTTACACCAGCCGTTTATTAAGCAAGGTTAATTATTTGCGAATCCCATTCATTACAAGTTGTATGAATTTCACGAGTCATGCCTGCCATTATGCAGGAGAGATGGTAGTTGATGTTGTTTACGTCGGAATTAATATTCCAAAGTGCAAAGTCCTATGAAATTGGACTACTGGTCTCTATAGATGGATTATGTGATCACAAATGTTAACTCAAAAAATTCGGTAATCATATAAATAAGCTGTACCGGGATAGTATCATGTTTATTACCATTTGGTAATAAACTTATACCTCTTTGGTAATCTAGTATTACTACCTGTATTCATATATGTGAACCGGATGGTAATAGAATAATAGTCTTGATCTTGCGTTGTACAGGTGTAAAAAGTTGGAGAGTTTGACCCTAGTTCGTTTTCAACAAAACCTTTCCATACTTAAGTACTTATTGGTCCTCACAGTATTAAATTATTTACAAATGTATGACGGACAAGGTAACTATTTTAATCCTTCACTAAAACAAAACACCATTTTAGCAATTTTGAGAAAACATTCTTCAAAAATATTTGGCCTGCTGGGTACCAATTACACGCATTTGTGCAATTTAAAATTTACCATTCAAAACCAAATTAGATGGCAAAAATTGAAAAATGGATCAACTCCATTGCAAAATGTGAAAAAATTCATGGTAAAAAGTGGACTTCTTGCAGCCTAAATTTTGAACTTTTTCTATATCAACCCCATGCACAAAAGTGGAATTTTCGAGTTCTTTGACTTTTTGTCAATTTTGAGATTTACAATTCTAAAATAAATCGGTCGCTAACAGATTTTCATGAGATTTTACTTGATAACGATGAGGTTAATATATGTATGTATATAATAATAAACCGTAGCATACGCCAGAAGTAGCTCGCCCTTTAGTGCAAATGAGTTCAAATCGTTTAATTGTTTTTTTAATTCGTTTGCACCATTGGGACCAAAGAAACCATTCGAATTGATATCTATTGGTGTCATTATTTTAACAACTTTGCACAATTGGTGTGAAATTAAGGAACAAAATTGATGCATAATTTTGACTCTAAAAAGGAAATTACGTATCTATGTATATTACATATGCCTTCAAATTATGTGTATATTTTGTGTGATTCTTCAGCACTAGTGATGCAAATGTGTCTAAATTGTGTAATCATTTTGTCTATAAGGCTGGTTGGCAAAACTGTGCATATGGGTAAGGATGCCAATTATACGTTTCAATTCTTGCATACTTATTTCTGAAGGATAAGGAAAGATAAAGACAGCTTTCCTCTTAGGGTAAGGTAAGATCTTGGGGTAAGGTCTTTTACTGTTTTTTTATTTACATAGCTCAACCTAGATTAGAAAGAAGTGGATGTGTTTGTTGCGGAAACCAGTGAAAATTATAAGCGACGCAGGCAGAATCAGGATGAATTGGAGTTCGTATCAACGACGAAATATTTTTATTACATGGAGGATAATCTGGATAATTTTGACATGAATATCATAATTGAAAGTTGCATATTAATATGCCATTATTGATTTATGTATCAATGCTGGTAATATTACATAGCGAGACGAGTGCCCTTCGCTTGAAATTGAAAGTTTGAAAATGTTTTTAAAGGTGGAACAACTTTGATGTAGCCATTTCGAAAATGCGAATGTCAAAATGGCTAGTTAACCAGCCTCAATCTTCTGTATTCATGCCGCTAATTTTATTTTATTTAGTCCAATGATAAAGTCATTATTAAAGCTCCATCAATGTATAAGCTGTTAAAAAATTGCAAAGGTATGCTAGGAGACTGTAATTAATTACAAAATCATCTTCTCAATTTTCAGTTGCACCGATTCCAAAGACAATTCCTGCTGCAACAATCCGCGAAAGTACGGCAGGTTGCACTGGATGGGAGACACTACAGGTGAATATAAATTATTAAAAAGTTGATATACTCATAAATTAGTTTTAATTAAAAACAATAGCATATAACTTACTCGCTCTTGCCAGTCCAACAACGGCACAGCTGAAACAGCGATGAGGACGAGGAAGAAGCAGAATATGATCTCTGTCAAGACGTATTTATTCATGTTTTATCAGATTTAGTTCTACAGGTTGTGTAAGCTTTGTGCAGCAGAGTGAAACTGAATATAAGTTGACGATTACACCAACTTATATACAAAATACAAGGATTGTTTTCAAGCGTCAATCATTATTTATGACGTTATCTGAACAATTGTTTTGTTGGTGGATGTTTGTGAACAACATGTTTACTTCCTTTTTTATGATTTATACCTAATGAAAAGTGTTCTTGTTTGTGAGCTTCGGCGGAAATTAGGACTTATCAGGCTTACTATTTGATGAGTGATTACTCTGTCTTGCGCAGTGAAACCTAACATGACGTCTGCATAATAGTTAAACTTACATAACAGAGGAAAACAAACCATTTCAATTGAATTTTTATATATCATAATCAATTGATCCACAACGTTTGAAGTTTGCGAGTACATAACTTTGGGTTTATTCGTTTGTCAGATATCGATGTGCGTACTGTGATGAACGTCATTTTATTAAAGCGTTACCGGTTTTATTTATGCAACTTAATCTGCACAACCATTGACTACATCTCCAATAGACCTTCACCACTTTGTCAATCCAGCCATATGAATCTCTCCTCTTATTATTGTAAGATGTGCAGCAGGGAGTGATGAAGGTGCTTCGAAATGTGTGCAATTGTTTGTTAGGAATTTAAATGTGTGTCATAATAATGTATATGAGGCGGATTGAGATTTTGTGGAGACTTTTAAGTGGTTTTATTATGTCTCTTTACTTCAAGCTCTCCAGACAGAATAATCTCTCCTCCTAGTCAACCATTTCTGTCGTCCTTTTTTCTACTCTCCCAATAATATTACATCCATGCATAGCCCACTTAATCTATACATGCATCTTGTCGCATTCACAATGCATTCACACGTCCACTCGAGATAGGAAGGGTCAGAAGGTCGGTAATAAAGTAGAACAATGTCTCAGTGTCTCACAAGGGAAGGTCCCGACTGCTTATCGTGTCCAGGGTACCCACTATGTTTTTTAGAATCTACTAGGACCCTAGACGAAGGATCCATTCATATTTCCGTGTTAATCGCACATTTGGCGCCATGGCGTGGCGCTAAACTTAAAAATCAGCGTTTTCGACCAATTTCAAACCTCCAGAACTTTCGCAGTTTCCGGGGGATTTGCAAAATTTTGGGCTCAAAATGATCACAAAGGTCAAAATTTTAAGAAATAAATAAAAAATGAAATAGTTTTATTTTTCAGTATTCAGTATTCAGTTGGATTTGTTCCCTTCCTCATTTATACAGTTTGACAATTATTAACTATTTAAAAATCTTCGATATTTCTGGAAGAATTATGGCTAAGAAATTTAAAGCCATGGGATGCAGACCCGTTAAGCTCTGCGTTAATAATAGATGACAACCTTGGCTTTAACTAAATTTGCGATAATTAGTAAATCAGTATACGAAAAGTCAATAAGAATTAGCTAGGAGTTGTAAGGAGGATGCGATGACGTTAACAAAGAATTGTCAAGTCATCATTTACCACGCGAGTGCCTGCAATAAAGTTTGTTATTCGTAACGCAAACAATTCAGTTGTTTGCATATAAATTAGTTTGGGCAAAGAGGAATATTTATTACGTCAAAGTATACAATACGTCATAATGGCAAGCAAATATGCAATTTTTGTAATTTAAAGACCTAACTTATTTTTGCCATCACAATACAGATAAATGGTATCGTACGCTTCTTGCAGGATGATGTTATTTATTCACTTCGACACGTATCATTTAATATTTTCAGTTGTATAAGATTAATTAGAGCGTTGCATGAATCAAAGGAAAATAAACATTATTGATAATTTTTGGGGTACAAATGTGCAGGAAAGTGCTGATATATTTACAATGCAGCCCCGGATGTCAAACAGGATGAGCTCATTGTCACAATCGTAATCCAGCCAGGAATGAATTTAAGTGTCATGCAAACTCATGACAGTCATTATTGCATACTGGATAATTCAATTCATATTTAGCTACTCTTAACAATCAATACAACTTATACTTCATAAACTTATAAATATTGTAGAATATTACAATTTCGTTGAAATGCGACAATTAACTACTTATTTCTTAATCGACTTACAAATTACATAAAATTAATATAAGTTCATAATTATACACATTCTGACGCGACATGTACTGAACAATACAGCAAAATAAATGAATTTAAATAGGACAAAAATTTCCCCTAAAGTTATCTTAATTGTAACCTGCCACAAATTTAATCTCGTCCACTGCAGCCGATTTTGGCCAATTCCGATATGGGATGTTTGCAGTGGCAGCCCGTGACTCTGGACTCCAATACATTGAGTCAATCCCCTAGAGAATTGCGGTGGTGGCTGCGTTAATGTGCACGTGCACGCAGTATGTCATATAAATAAATAAAACTAATAAATGTCAAATTGGTTGCAAATTAATACTATTTGACCTGAATGGTGACCTGACACATGGTCATGAGGTCAAAAAATTAAATTTTCTTATGGGAACTAATTTTAAAAGAACTTTCGCCACGAATTCCACGACGCCAAAATTTTCGACTTTTGACCTCGTCGTCGGGGTCATGGGGCAAAAAAAAATTAAATTTTCTTATGGGAAGTAATTTTAAAAGAAATTTCGCCACGAATTAAACGACGCCAAAATTTTCGACTTTTGACCACGTCGTCGGGGTCATGGGGCAAAAAAAAATGAATTTTCTTATGGGAAGTAATTTTAAAAGAACTTTCGCCACGAATTCAATTGACGTCACATGTTTGTGTCCCATTCATACTTGCTCCGTACATCCCGACCATCCTATCTCAACACTGTTAAACCTGCCAAGCTACATACGGGAGAGCTGTGAGGTGAGTGCCAGCTTGGGCACTCACCTCACAGCTTTACCGTATGTAGCTTGGCAGGTTTAACAGTGTTGAGATAGGATGGTCGGGATGTACGGAGCGAGTATGAATGGGACTTCCATTCAATTGACGTAAATGTAACTGTATATAAGTATGGCTCAGCAATAAAGGAGGTTTAGTCGCTGGACACACACCAAACAATTTCTACATTATTACTTGTATTTGCAATAAGCAACTTAACAATGGGTGAATTTAACTTGGTTACTTTTTTGGTCGCTCAACTGGGTTCGCTACCCAGTAAACCATTAAATTTCTCCGCAGTAGATACAACCACAAGCATGGCAGATTTCAATTTTACAAACGAGTTTGTTTACACCAATATCTCTCATTTTGTGAATACTGAATCAATAAGTGATGTGCCAGTCCCAAAGTTTTGGGTTGTTGGGGGAGGGTTCAGATTTAATGTACCCTGGAACGCAAGTCAGGATTCTTCTATGAGGTTTGCATTAATTAAATAATACAATATATAATTTGTCAATAATGGTGGTCAATAATAATATTTGTCAATAATAATATAATGTCCTGTAGTTACTGTGGTCTAGGAAACTTTCTTGGCATGTCAAACATTGACTGTTTATTTCACAAGATAAAGCTAACAAGGGGAAATTTGTCAATATTACCCACCCCGGAAGAAGACCATCTCACTCAATCTTGCTTTGACCTGTGGGAGCATTTTGCTGTTCCAGTGTGTCATGGGTTAAATTCTACCAAGCTGGACACGGTTATAACAAAGGAAAAGTATAGAGAGTGTGAGTTTTGACATGATTTCCTATATAACTATTTGGCCTACATAACTTAACAGATTTATGTATAGATATGTCAGGAACCATTAAGTCTCTTATCGCCAACAATGTGGATCATTATTGGCTTTATGTGTTATATTACTTCTCGATGGGGATGAATGACCAGTTTTTTGTCGGGGACCCTTACGACGTCCATGTACACGTGAGGAAAAATCTAGCCACTATCTCCGACTCATGTATTCAAAGTTACATGACCGGTTCAACTGTCAAGTCGAAGTGGGACAAATTTGTTTCCAATGGGCACAACTTTTACAAAAACGATACTGACTACTTAAACTGGGGGTTGGATCAGGGGTGTTTTGGATTATGGGATACTCGAGTATTGCAATAGTGACAGATTTTCATTGGCAGTGAGTGTTAAATTAACTTTCCCCACCCCTCTTTTATCTGGTCTCTATAATATTCCCTTCGTTTCCACAATAATTGGCTTAATGTCTTACAGGTTAAAGCTGCAGCAGAAAGGATAGCTATGTCGAAAGATTTTGTCCATAGACAATTTGTCCCTGAAATTGACGTATGGTTGCAATATTATTTTCCGGGAACGTCATGGAACTCTGCCCCATTTACAACATTGCTACCAGCAGCGGCAACCCATGGACATAGCTTAGAATACATGTTGGACATAGGAGTTCCGGAGCCCTGTAACCGCACCTATTGTATCCCCCCACTCAATCCACGTTACGCTCATGGAAGTCCTGCAAAGAAGCAAAGAGTAGACATTATGCCTTCTGAACCAGATCCCCCGTCATCATCATCAACCGCCCCCTCGCAGCCCGTACCTGACGAACTTGACTGTTCTGAAGATGCAGCAGCGGCAACTAAGGAGTGTATGCACGTATTTAATCATGACACCGGTGAGTATTCTAGTATAATGATCAACGAATTATCTAGGTCGTCACACCCACTAACCCGAAACGAGTATATCGAAATTAAATATGTTGATTATGCACCGCGTAAAAAAACGTGATAAAAAGAATGAGAGGATGTAAATTACTTATATTTAACAGCGTTGAGCAAAAAGTTTTCCTACTCGGTAATTTAAACAACGTTAACTTCCCTGATAACGGATTGTTTGTCATATCTGGAAATGCTATACAAACTTACGACTACATCCAATATGTACCGTCCAGGCTCGACAACTTTAACTTATTACCGTCTGGTGACGATGAACCAGTTGTAGTTATGCTTTTACGGAGGCAGAAGGAAGATCCAGATATTCCTATATCTGAATGGGATTTATTAAAAGTAGGAAAAAGGTATGTTTTGGATTTAAATGAAAAAATTACAATCAAAACTCAAGTGGCAGAGAAGGTTGTGAATTTATGGGATATTATAAAGAAAACAATAGTCGATATGCAGATCTTCGGTCGACATAAAAATTTGGACTTACAGTTCTACACCCAGTTATGTAACAGGTTTCAGGAATGTAACTTTGTTCTCTATCATTCATTGTATGAGACTTTAAGACCAGGCGAAACAATGGGGTGGTGTAGTTCTGTTAAAAATATGATTCCACGACCATTCAAATTTGCAAATTTTAAACGAGGCTCGCCAACTCCAGGTACTGACAATGATTGCGAGGTTACAACATTTTTGACAGACGTATTGGAGCATGAAAATGAGCCATATTTGACCACTGAGGGTGTGGTGTCGAAGCCGGTAGGAGGTAGACAGTGTCCTAAGCAACCTGATATCGTTGCAACGAAATTACTAACGGAAATAGAATATGAAATTTCCTCAATTAGAAAAGAATTCAACAATAGTTTCAGCATTCCTGAGTACCCATTGGGACGATTTAGTGAACACATAGCAAATTTCATAAGCTTAGATTCAATGGAAAGCAAGAGGTTGGGGGAAAAATTGGGCCCACTACAAATAGTCGAACATCCTTTATTTCAATATGCTAGAGGAATTATTTGTTCAGTTTGCAGAGAAAGGGTTCATTCATCCCCCCATACCATAAAAACACAAGCAAGAGATGCATTAATGCAAGAGGAGGGCTATTATGGTAGCGACGAAAAAAGAACTACGTATTACGTCCTAGGCCATCTTGAAAAGAATGTGCACCTTCAGTCAATTCTACATTACGTACGTAATAAAAGAAGAAACTTCCTAGCAGACAGAAATTTACGACCTAAATATCTTCCCACGGAAGGAACTGACATACAAAAACTAGAAAATCATTTCAAAGCTGCATACGGTATGGTCAGGTTAGGGCTAGCACCTTCAAACTATTATACTCTTACATCAATAATAAAAAGCACTGGAGGGGTGGTTGGTCCTCATCTTGTCAGTCCAAAGTCAGCATTCAATATGATAAGTTTTATGGCACAAGAAATCAAATCTAGCGTGGTTTCATACCTAATTGAAAAGAACAGACCTTTTTCCCTAATGATGGACGGAACGTCCGACCTTCAAAATAGGCATTTGATTGTTATATTCATTCAGACACACGAAGGGAACAGACCTCAAACTTACCTTTGGAGGCTTGGAGAAATGAAGGGAGGTTCTACTGCACAAGATTACATTAATTTGATTGATACTTATGTTAAACAAGAAACAATTGAATTTCAATCTTATTTTATGAGAAGGATGGTAAGTCTAATAACTGATGGCGAAAATACAATGAAAAAGTTCCACAGAGACTTTGATCAATATTACAAAAAGAAATCATACAACGGGGAGGTAATTAAACTCGTTCATATTCTATGCTTGGCTCACAAACTTAATTCAGCAACAAGAGCTGCCCTGATACCACTAAAAAGGGACACAGATTTAGGGCCTGAAAATTGTTTACCATCATTTGCTAATGTTGAACTTGTATTAAACTCAGTAGCCACGTGGATAAAAATTGCTCATACAAGAATATCAGCATTCCGTGCTATGCAAGAGTCTCTAGATTTACCAAAAATTCAACTCATGCGAATTTTTGAAGGAAGGTGGGTAGCTTCTGAATACCGCAGTATAGATAACTTTATAGAATCACTTCCAACTTTAATTGGAGTTCTGCAAGACATGGCCACGGATCCTACTCTGCAAGCAAATATCAGGGACGACGCAAACAAAAAGTTGAACGAAGTTAGGGACCCCCGTTTCATCTTTGTTCTTCATGCATTGCTTGATTTTACATACACATTTAAACAGTGGTCTATTTCTATGCAAAAATCTGGAGCTTTAGCTATCGATCAGTCAGAGGCTTACAAAAACGTATTGTTGGATATGGATAAACAGGAAAAGTTTGAAGGAGACATTTTAGTAGGGTACTTGAAATTAGTTAAATGTGAGGTCAATAATGAGTGGATACAGGGTTGCACGGTTGATCAGTACCTGCAGAACACTCAAATTGTTTTTAAAAAAGAAGTATTAAAGACAAGTAACATGCTTCAAATTTCCTCTCCAGAAATCTTAATTCCAGCACTTGCGAAAAAAGCCAAATCTAAGTTGGAGGACTATATTCCTCTCGAACAGCTGAAAGTGTTAGCCATGTTCAACCCTTCCAATTTTCCTGTTTCTAAACAAGCACTCTATACACAATGGAATAATGAGTATGACTTGTCAAACTTGCAAGTAGTTTGTAACATGCTGGGGCTTGAGAATCCAAAGATGATTGAAAGTTGGATCACACTGGTTAGTTCTATAATGGACTCTCCACAATGGGGTCAGACTAGGAATATTAGACCGTCATCTGCGTTTTGGATGACAGTAAAAAGTGATACTTCAGTTGAATGGGATGCTAACACAATCGAGTTAGTAAATAGCGTTACAACAATCGTCGTTGGAAGTGTCAAATGTGAAACTGCTTTTTCTGCGGTTAGTCTTATTAAAAACGCACATCGTACTACGCTATCAACTTTAAACCTGGAAGCAATTTTGCGAGTAAAAATGCAAGGTCCTAAGCACATTTTGGATTTCGATCCTGTTAAGTATGCTTGGTTATGGGTGAGGGCTGGAAAGTTCACACCTGATATGGAGCCCCCAATTGACAATGATGAGGATGAAGAGAATGTTGAACAGGTTGATGAGTTTGTGGTAGCAGAAGAGGGAATCGATTTTTCCGAATTTGATATGACTCTCTCCGAAGGAGAAAAAAATGACCCTGAAAACGAACATGTGCAGTTTACAGACGTAAATTCGGATAGCGTACTATACTAAACATACTGTGAATATTTATATTATAAACTTAGCAATATAAAGCTTATAAAATTACTAATGACGATACATTTTTGTATAAAATAAGAATTTGAGAAAAAACTGTAATTGTGACTTAGGATAAATTATTAAATAGAAAAATAAATAATTGTACAATGATAATAAATGCTCACTGGATTTGTACAAAGTTGTCGCTAAAATCTCCAATACCATTTTTATTTTCTGAACATTTCCCTATTTGCTTGTTGCATTTGGAGTTTTTCGGCAATATTTTATTTAGGCCATGACCATGTGTACCACACCATTTTAGTAAAAATTTGCAACTAATTGACATTTGTTAGTTTTCTTTACTTATGTGCAATACTGTGTACATAGCGAGTCCGACCTTTGACCGCGTCGCTATGGTCCAAAATTTTGGCGTTTAATTCGTGGCGAAAGTTCTTTTAAAATTACTTCCCATAAGAAAATTTAATTTTTTTTGCCCCATGACCCCGACGACGAGGTCAAAAGTCGAAAATTTTGGCGTCGTTTAATTCGTGGCGAAATTTCTTTTAAAATTACTTCCCATAAGAAAATTTAATTTTTTTTGCCCCATGACCCCGACGACGAGGTCTAAAGTCGAAAATTTTGGCGTCGTTTAATTCGTGGCGAAAGTTCTTTTAAAATTACTTCCCATAAGAAAATTTAATTTTTTTTGCCCCATGACCCCGACGACGTGGTCTAAAGTCGAAAATTTTGGCGTCGTTTAATTCGTGGCGAAATTTCTTTTAAAATTACTTCCCATAAGAAAATTTAATTTTTTTTTGCCCCATGACCCCGACGACGAGGTCAAAAGTCGAAAATTTTGGCGTCGTTGAATTCGTGGCGAAAGTTCTTTTAAAATTAGTTCCCATAAGAAAATTTAATTTTTTGACCTCATGACCATGTGTCAGGTCACCATTCAGGTCAAATAGTATTAATTTGCAACCAATTTGACATTTATTAGTTTTATTTATTTATATGACATACTGCGTGCACGTGCACATTAACGCAGCCACCACCGCGATTCTCTAGGGGATTGACTCAATGTATTGGAGTCCAGAGTCACGGGCTGCCACTGGATGTTTGCCTGTGTGAGACGTGGATCCATGGAGGAGACGTTTTTCTTGAGTTTCCTAAAATTGCTCCTTGTGCCAGCTTAAAAGTAGGACATGTAATATCGAAATATCGATATTGGAGTATTCTAACCTAAACTCTTTGTTAAAATATCGAAATATCGAAAAATCCAAGTTCGACATATTTCGAGATCTCGAAAATTCGATATCCCATTTAATCCCAATGTTAAAATATCGAAATAACGAAATATCGAACTAAATTCGATGTTGCATGCCCTAATGGTTTGCTAGGTAGTATTCGTCATTCTTACTTTGCCGCGTCACTTGTCGGGCATATTCTCGAGTATCCGGTGTTCTTGATTCGGTTGAGTTCGTCTTCTCCTTCAATGAGTGACATTAAGTCACCATCACCCACATCGAGATCCACGTTGTCAGAAATTATCTTGACACATTCTGTCACATTAGTCGTCGAGGTGTCTCCTGACAAGTTTTGGATTTTGAAACCAACCACAGTTAACATTTCGGCCAGATGACGTCTAGCCGCCGGCCAGGTGTCTGCATATGAAAGCCAGGGAAATCTAGGGAAATAAATTGTTTCTATATTTCTTGAAAATTACCGCGTTATGCCGTCAAATTTGATCGATAAAAAGCAAAAAAGCATAATCGTAATGCTGTTTTGCTTTTTACTTGCTTGATTGCTTTTTACTTGGTGCCACCTAGCGGCGAATCGTATCACAATAATGCTATAGGACGCAAAAAAAACAAAAAACAGCAATTTCAATAAAGCAAAAAAGCAGCTTTAAAGCAAATAAAAAAGCAATCAAGCAAGCAACTTTTTTACTTGATTGCTTTAAAGCTGCTTTTTTGCTTGGGAGAACACTGTTCGTCACGTACCTATTAATTTCAATCAAATATGGCCTCATAGTTCCCTTATCCCACATAAAGTCGATTGAAAAATCTGGCATTTCCGCAATACTAGATTGGATGAAATATAACGGAATGATGCTAAACTTGGACAATTTATTTTCTATTTTTCTCATTTTACTACCACGCGATAGATGTATGTGAAAGGTATAGTATGTTGTCACCACAAGCTTAACGTTTTTTTTTTGGCCGTGTAGCGGCCCCTTAAGAAATACACAGGGCCTAAACTAGGCATATTTTTAAGGTGTGCAAGATCATCAATGCGCCCCAAACCCGCTCGCGCCTTCGGCGCTCGCGAATATGTTGAACTTCTAGTATTAATCGACAGAAAAACTTCCATACTTTTAATTAGCATATTTAATTTATGGCCATCAGGTAGCTCTCGGTGGAGGGGCAGGCGCCTGCGCCACTGGCAACGTCACCATCGTGCGGAGCGCCAAGACTGAAAAGAGTAGAAATTTGTACGTTTTCTTCACCGAGGCCGTCTTTTGATCTTACTTGTGCCCAATTTCATGCGCGAATGTTCTCACGCCTGAAAAAGTGGCGCCCGTGTCGTCATGAGACAGCGAGACTTTGTAATTTGTCAAACATGCCGCGCGCATATAAGCGAGCCCGAAAACTGAGTCGAAGTTTACGCTGGAAATGAGTGCTCCGAGATGGTTGGGGGGTAGCGAGGGTGTGGAGGAGACATATCGACCAAATTCCGGTAAAACATCATAAGAGTTATAAGTTCCATCGGGCAATTTCTGGTTCTCGAGGAACGGCTGGCTTTCCAGGGACTGGAATTGGGGGAAATTATAAATTTGAATAGTACCCCCAGAAAGGTATTTTAACCTCTTTTTGAGCGTAACTTTAAGGCCCTTGTTGCCACTAACCGAATTTGAGTTTTGTCAATTTCCAAAACTTAAACAAATTCGAAAAAATCAAAATTCGGCTGAAAAAATCCGACTTTCCACTATGGAATTCTCCACTTTTCATAAGTTATTCATTTTTTTAATCAATTTTCAACTTCGATGTTAGTTGCAAATGGAAAATTTCGCTGCATCATATGACGTATTTGGTCTCTACGGGTCTTAATTTCAAATATCTCGAATTTAGTCAAAAAGAGGTTAAACTATTTAGTTTGACGCCATACCGTCATCAAAACCATCCCGCTAACTTTCAAAGTAATTCTGGGATCGGTGCTGGCGGAGAATCGAGTGTTTGCCGCTCTCACAAAAATTGCGAAATATTCCGTGATTCGTGCGACGTTGCCGCTGAAATAGTTGTAAATTAAGTTGTCCACGACGAGCAGTATTTCAAAGGAGACGGTGGCATCGACCGATCGGTTTGATTGTTCACGGATGTAAGCGGGGTTGATAATCGGACGTCGGCCGGTATCTCGACTAAATATGGAAAATACTAAGTTAGGATTTCGTGACGTAAATATTTGTTACTGCAGGGTAAAATATGGCTAAAAGTTAGGTAATCGCTGATTATATTGTTACCGAATCTCGTAAGTTACATCTCAACAAATTTTAATGTGTTACCAACTAGGTCGATTATTGGAAAAATAGTTTCACCGGGTTGTGTATTACGAATTTGCAAATATTAACTTTTTGGTTGTCTTGCGGTAATCCAGGGTGTTACCAAATAAATAAACCGTTTAATACCGGCAGGTAAATAAGAGATGAAACAATACGTACTATCATGCGCTCTACTTTTCGACTTTGGCGTCCTCTACACGGTCATGGCGTCGTAGATCAAAATGATGCAGATTTCTGAAATTCTTGCACCAAAATTCGTCTAAAACGGGCGAAACTAAAATTTCGACAAGTGCGACCGTTGACCTCATCCCGTGGCGCCGTGAACTTATGACCTACAATGTCCATCTTCGAACTTGACTTGTCCCCAAAAATTAGAAACACGTTGGCGAACGCCGCATGTCGAAATTCGCATCTGTTCGAAAGTTAGAGCGCGACAGGACAGACGGACGGACAGAATCGATGCATAAAGGGGTGTCACCCCTTAATAAATGCAATATTTCCGGAAATATATTTACCAACTTGTCAATCAACAAATGCATAAGCACACAAACTTTATAATTCCCTTACGGTAGTCGAGGTACGAATGTGACGCCACGGCTCCACTGACAATGGAGGTCTCCCAACGTATACTCTCAGATTTGGACGAAACTAGTGTCAATCGATCACAAATTTAAGTAGCATGAAATTTGCAAATGCAACTATCTGCCAATGCGCAAGTTTGGCGGAGATATTTGCATAAAAAGAGGAAAAAACGCAGATAGTTGCATTGGCAAATTTCATACTACTTCAATTTGTGATCGATTGACACTAGTTTCGACCAAATCTGTGAGCATACGTTGGGAGACCTCCATTGTGAGTCGGTGCATGTTGTCCTCCTCATGATATGAAATCAGCCTGTTGCCAATTTGACCGTACTACATCAAGGGCAAAATTTAGGTCATGTGCCCGACAATCTTAAATTGAAAATTTATCGACCCACTAACTGCGTGTTTCCATTGACGCTGGTCAGTTTTACGACAGCATTTGAATTTCGGTCGACGTGTATTTGATTCTCCAGTGCGAGGAGGTCTTCTTTCAATGGCGTCACGTCACTATACGTCACCTCCCCGAGGACGTATTTTGAAGCGAGGACTAGGAAGTTGTCGTGAAATATGGATCTGACTAAAAGAGAACAAATTTTGTTCCTCAATTGTTACAAAATAAATTTAAAGGGGTGTTACGGAAATGTGTAGAAGAGAAAATTAAAAAATGTATGTAACATATTCACCTAACTTTTCCAAATTGAGTCGAATTTCTCCAAAATCTGTAGAAACGACGGTATGAGTGGAAACTGGTTTCGAGTTTGGGGCACAATCTGTCCCCACAAGGAGGGAGGTGAGGATAGCGAGGAAAACCTTCATGGTGTAGACTTTGAGCCGAAAGTTTCGAGTTTTTAGTTGTCTAACTCGTGTACAAATTGGCTGGCTTTTATATGTGTAGGATTTCGCAAGGATATCGGTAATCGCGACACCTATTCACGTCAGGGATGTCAGCCTGACAAATTAAGAGGATGATTGACAGCTTCCGGGAGATCTCAAGTGATATTTCCAAATAATGATGTCAACTTTTCAAATCTCCTTGATAACAAGGCTGGATTCGCGGAAATGTCAGTTATCTCGGTCCGAATAAATTCGTGGAAGTACGTGGTTACGTAATTGAGACAAGCTTTTTGTTTTTGCACATGGACAATTGATGCCTGGTTAGAGTGGCAATACTAGAAATTATTAAGTATGACTTAGATAAAGCATGACAACCATCAGATAAACCCACAATTGAACCAAAAATAAATCTACCTCATCGCTACCAAGAAATATCACTTGCAAAAGCTGTTAGGGACTGATTTATTTTAGAATTGCAAAACAAAAAATTGACAAAATATCGAAAAATGGGAAAATTCCACTTTTGTGTATGGCGTTGATATAGAAAAAGTTCAAAATTTAGGCTGCAAGAAGTCCACTTTTTACCATGAACTTCTCCACATTTGGCAATGGAGTTGATCCATTTTTCAATTTTTGCCATCTATTTGGGTCGTCAATGGTAAATTTTAAATTACACATATCTCTGTAATTGGTACGGAACGGAATATAAATCGTTACACAAATGTGTGTAATTGGTGCAAAAGAGAAGTGTGTCCACCTCGCAGTGGTAGACGAATGTTCGATGATTTTTGGATTTACGTTTTAAATAATGATAAAATTTGGAGTCAAATTTGCTTATCCATATTGCATGGTTCGTATGATTTGCAAACATTAGTTAAAGCGTGAAAATATAAAACGTAGCAGTGACAGGAATTAATTTTTGGACCATTTTAATTTTGATTTGATAAACAAAAATGAAATTTAAGTTAAAATTTGTGAGACAAATTTGTGCAAGAGAGAATATGTAAATCTTTCTCACTTGGTATGAGCTGTGCTGGAGAGAAGGCTGATAAGCAAACAAATAGTGATATCGTATACATATTGGACTCTTGATAAGGTGACCTTGCCCATCACCAGACACGTCACCCATAACTGGCATACATGGATTGAGGCAGAAAATATCCGACTTGCTCACAGACCTTAGAAGACATCCTAAGCCACCTCCATACGAAACCATTTTATAATTTTTACTAGCTTTTTGTCAATTTCAAAATTTTGAAAACTGCAAAACTTTTAAATATGTTAAAATTTTAAGAAAGTCACACCGACGTAGAATCTTTGAATATTTGTATTAACAGAGTTAATAATTTATTTGCAATATTCTTTTCTAATCAAATTCCCACGGTGAGACACAAAGTGCTGAGTCTTTTTCCGGTGAAATTAATTTAAGTTTATCCTTGTTTCTCTATTTCAAGTGCTAATCTCACCTAGGACACCTTATATTTTAATTGTAATTTGTTTTCTAGTTATTAAGTGAATAACTTTCTAGAATGACGCATTTATAGCGTGATGTAAGAATCTTAACTTTTTGACGGGGGTAATTAAATATACGAATTAGCTGGCCAGATAAAATCTAAAATGCATGGCTATCACTACATAATTACTACATAAAATTTAGAGCATCGTCGCTTCTACTTATTTATATGTTAGTCATTCGAGTTGAACAATAATTTACGTTTTTTTTCAAAACTGCGAGAAATGTCTGTTAACTTGACAATTTAAATATTAAGCATGAAATTTTTTACATGGAACTTGACATGCACGTGCACGCCGTTCAATATCCGTAGGTGCCGGATATTTTCTCTGAGTAATAGTGTCCCTATTTGCCATGGTTGTTTCATACTTTTCCATTTATCTAATTGCAATCAATAGCTGAGTTGAACAATATTGAAATAAAACATTATAAATGAAAATTTAAAATATTAATCTTTCAATATGCTTCAAGTGTCTTCAATAATTAAGTAGTATGGAAGAAACCGACGTAGTTATTTTAGATTAAATGTTCCATTATGATATTAAGTTTGCAGGCATGAAAGGTAGCTTGGTCTGGTTGCAAGCAAAATAGAACGTTCTTAAATTTCCTAAAATTTTGAATCTTTTAGGCATAAACTATATTATAAAAGTTGGATTACCATTTAATACCTAGATAGACTACTGTGATGTCGTGCATATTTATTTTGTTAATAACTTCCCTTATTTTTATTACCCCCGTATGTTCGCAACATGAAAGTATAAATTTGTCCAATTCCTTATTCCAAGATTTAGATCAAGACTGCCATTTAATTGTAACTCACCATAACATTTTTCAAAACTCTGACCTACTCTTATCCACAATACCGTCTAAGAAAGGACTATACATATTTCAACTCCCGCAAATCAACACATCCACCTGGCCAAGATATCGTAGCCCCTTCTACAATATAGATACCAATGCCACAGGAATTTTTGCTTCTTTACAGAAAGCTCAATTTCCATGCTTTATCGGTGTAATTATCACGCAAGAATCAGATTTTGGAGTAAATCCGCAAGTCCTTTCAGACGGTGAACTTTCTAACTTATGTCGCCATCAGGTAGACGCATTCTACAAAATTTTATTCTTAAAGTCTCCAACTATTGAGTATTCCTATATTGCATCTAACACCCGAAGAGAGCTACTCGTCCGAGTCGCTTTAGGATTTAGTCGTGTCATGCGCTTCCTACCGGTAGCGACATCGGTGTTCAAATCTGTCCTGTACCTAGTTCTTATAGATAGTGGAGAAATTTGGTATCGGAGCTACCCACCCTTTACCAGTGATATCACTTTGACTTCTCGACAGGAGGTTCTTCCAAGAATCAGTAATCACACCAAGTTCAACCAGCTGGTCGACCGTCCTTCCGATTTTTATCTGTTTAGTAGTCGGAAATCGTTCCTCAACTTGTACGGGGTTTATGATAGGAAGGAATCTTGTGCTGCGTTCCCTCTGACTTAATACGGGAACGGTATCGCCCTCGAGCAGCACTATTTTTTAGTCTGATTTGTCTCGGTAACTTCTCATTCGGTTGGGCAAGCCCTGAAGCAATGGTCAAATACGGCAATCGTATCGGGGTCGAGAAGAGAACATATTTTGAAAATGTATATGCCGACAAATATCAAGATCAAGGATATCCGTCGCTAGTTTATTTTGCGACACTGAAGCAAGGATTTTCCTTCATGACGTGCTATTCAAGGAAGGAATTGTCGTTCCATGTTCTCCTAACGCCTTTCGAAGTTGAAGTGTGGATCGTTTTCGCGGCAAGTTTAACTGTTGTTATGGCTGTTTTGATTATGATTTTGGTACATAAGTTAAAATGGAGGTGTATTGATGCAGTATTGTTCGCACAGCTGGTCGTGGTGTCGACAGTGTTCGAGAAGCCTACAGACGTGTCGAGTGAATTGGGAAGATTGTCGCAATTTCGGATTTTGCTAGGCATTTGGATGCTATTCCTCCAAATACTGACAAATGGTTATCTCGGCTTAAGCATTACGTCAATATCAGCGCCGTTAGAATCGACATCAGTAACGCGGTATGATCAGCTGGCTAAACCAGGATGCGACTGGGGCAATACGAAATGTTACATTGATCGACTGCGAGGACTTGACCGATATCTAGACATTCTTTACAACCACGTCGAAGTTTTATGGCAAAGGTCCCAAAAGGACGATGCACATTGGGCCGCAGTTTACGCAAACTATGGCGATACTTTCACCTACGACAGAAATCGAACTTTGGAGGCCGTTCGAAATCAGTCAATTCGAAAATTCGATGCCAAAGAAGATTTTGTACTACTGCCGTACCCAGTAGAAGAAAATATGACAATAAAAATGGTCACTGACAACAATTTTTACCAAGTGGTAAACTATCATCTCAACGTTATGGGAAGCAATATTTTGGAAAAATTTGAAAAATCTGGAAATGCCATTGCCAATAATTTTATGGCATCTTTGAGACTACTCGATTTAATTGATCCTTGGCACATACCGCACCCACTCCTTGGAAATTTGTCTGATATGAAATATATCGAAAACGAATGCATTGAGGACATTGAGCATGCACTAGTGCAATGTGGTAGAACGGTGTTGATTCTGGATAACGTCGAAATCGACTGGGAAATGGACTACTTTAAGACGAACTACCCGTGGATTAAGTTTTGTAAATCGGAAGATAAAATTCTATCGTTAGAATCAGGATGGAGTTTCCGCATTGAAGGAAATTCAATCACACCGGAAATATTTGGGAGACTGTATGTCGCAGGAATTGTCCAGCTTTTGGAAGCTTGGCCGTATAGGGTGTCAGAAAAGAGGAGAAATATTACGAATATGGGCAAACGCTTGTGGAAAGTAGGCCAGTAGACAACATCGTTAAGAAGATTACACTAGGTGGGAATATCCAAACCATATTTTGGCTCTATTTGGCACTTTTGTTAGTATCACTGGCTGAAGTTTTAACAATTGAGGTTAGGATATTTAGCACCGTGTGGTTTATTTTGCGTATGGTTTCTCAAATAAGATTTATATATATTCGGGACTATGTGTTTCGGTAGATGAAGGGTCAGTATATAAAATTTTGCTAATAATAATAATTATAATAATAATTTTTTGCTAATAATTTTTTTTGCTAAATACTAAATCTTATATCTGCAATTTTGAATGCAAACAGGAAGCGTTTTAAGATTCTCTTTACCTTTTATGCTAAATCTTTTCCAGGCGTTCATTCTAAATTTGTCGTGCTGTCCATGATTTCGTAATTATTTCTCTCATCCATTACAAATACATGGATATCCTCTACCTGTCAACTTCTTGCACATTGCAAGCATTACGTAATAAGTCATACATAACTGCTATTAAAGAGTTTCCCAATTTCGTGTACGAATCGATTTTGTCTTGATCAGAAAATCAGTGTAAATTGATGATTTACTTCACATGAATTAACGAAGGTATTC